TCATCGATAGAAATTAGCAAAGCCTAAAAAGACTTATATATTTTAATAATTTTTTAATTTTAGCTACTTCTTAATAATAGCAATATATTTCTAGTTTATCGCGATACCTTCGATAAATATAATAAACTCTAGAAACTTAACCCGCTCGATATAGAATTAATACTTTTTTAAACTAATATATAGTTGAAACTGGCGTAGATATTTAAGTACTTACTTAATATATCGCTAATACTTCGCTAGATTAATACTATAAATTAGAATATTATTTAAATATATTACGTATATTATATTTATTAGATTCATAAGAGCTTTATTAATATACGCTTAAAAAGTTATTAATATATTAATAAGCTTAAAAGATATAATTAAATATTCGAAGTGGTTATAGTAACTGCGAAACGCTATTTTCTACTTATCGCTCTCTTTAATTCGAATTTAATAATAGATATCCTTAAGGTCTAGCTTTATAAAGACTTTGATTTTATATAAGCGATCTAGAGTCTTAGTGATTAGAGGTAGCGAGTATCGATTTTTAATAATTATCGCGTTTAAGCTCTAATAATTAATATAAAAATAAAACTTCTTATTCTTCTTAAAAACGAAAAGAATTAATATTTTAACTAAGAAAGTTAAATAATAAATCTAGTTTTTCTAAAGGAAATTCTTTAGATAGCGCTATAGCTTCGCTAACTTCGTTTAAAATAGATTATATAAGAAGTTATATAACGATTTTTTATCGCTCTCGATCTTAATAATATAGTTTCCCTACTTAAGCGTAGATAAGATTTCTATTTTTTTATTAGAAAAAACGTTATTAAACTCTAGTAACTTTTAAGAAAGCTCTAGATTACGCTTATTTTCTAGTTCGCTATATATTATTATAGCGTATATAATTATAAATATATTTAACTTCTATTTAATAATTCGAGTAAATTTAATTAATTTTTTAATCTATAATTTGCTAGCGTTAATTTTAAACTATTATTACTTCGTCGCTAGATTTAATAATACTTATAATTAACTTAGTTTAAATATATTTAATATGATATTAAGATCTTTTTAATTAATAGTATAGAAGAGTATATTATACTTTCTATCTTAATTTTAACTATTTATTAATTAGTAATTTAGCTAATACGCGTTATAGTAATATATATTTTAATCGCTTAGCGCTTTCGATTATAATAAAATAGCGTCGTAAAATTTTAAGTCTTATTAAACTATGAACTTTTATAAAATTAAATTAATATACGCTCTAATATTAAGTAGAGTAACGAGTTACCTCTATTTACTCTAAAGCTTTATTTATCCCTTTATAAAAATAGAAGAAATTATCTCTATTAATTATTATTCTTACCTCGCTTCTAAGACGATTATAAGACTAGATCTTTTTTTATTAATATTATATCGATATAGATTATAGACGATTTATCGAGATCTAGATATTAAATATTTAATAACTCTATTTTTTATAATAGAAATAACTATTCTTCTTATAATTAGAGTTAAAGGATTTAACTTTACGCTTTACGCTATTGTCTTAAGTATACGCTATGTAAGCGCCGTCGTTTAAAATTAATTTAGACTTCGAAATTTAATCCTCTAAAGGCTTATTCTTAGTAAACCCCCTCGAAGACTTTAAATAAGAATCGTTATAAAAGTGTATATATTCTAAAATCTTTTTCTATATAATAGCTTAGATAAGAATTTTTTTTTATTATTTCGGTATACTATTAGTACTTAGAATCTTATTCTTAAACTCTAATCTAAGTTTAGTTAAAAAGAAATTAACTCGATATTTTTTAGAAAATGAGATTATATAAGCCTCTAGCTTCTTTAAATAGATCTTAAAAATAGATATTTTCTAATTAAAGCGTTATTTAATCTTCTCTCACTTTTTATATATAAGAAAATAATAATTTACTAGATTCGCTATTAAATTAAATAAAAACTATTTAAAGTATTTAAAAGTCGTATTCTCTAAGCTATAGATTTAATAATATCTATATTATTAAGTATTAAGATTGTCTTTTAAGAATTATATATAATAGATAATCTTTAATTAATTAATAGTAAAATACTTAGAATTTATAAAAAACTTAACTTCGACTTCGCGGAATTAGCGTAAATACTCTTTCTCGCTAATATTCTTATAAGAATATATTCTTTTAAAGCGAAGTATTTTCGCTTTAATTAGTATATTCGCTAGAGATATAATAATAATCGATATAGATAAGCTCTCGCTAGTCGTAAATAATAAGCTAGCGTTATAAAGCTTGTGATTGCGAGTCTTTAATGTAGCTAATTTTTATTCTTATTTTAAGCGATAATTTTCGATTCTAGCGATTATAAGATGTTCTTTTATAATAAGATCTTCTATTAATAAGAAATTCTCGAACTTATTATCGATACTATAGCGACTCTCGATATTATCTTTATTTTCTATTATATAATTTAAAGATAAATTTAATATTATAATAATAATAGATCTTTTTCTTTAAAAGATAGAGAGATTAGAATTATAAAGGCGTAGTTTATTAATAATTAGCTAGCGGGTATAGACTATAAAAGATATAGTATCGTTATAAAATTTAATAGTATATTTAATAGTAGAACTAATCTCTAAGAAATATTAAAACTTCGAGATATATAAAGTAAATCTATATTCGTTAAGTCTCTAGATATATAGAGTATATTATTAAAACTAAACTCTAAAAGAGACTCTAACGTAGTATATACGATGTTAACGCCTTAGCGTAAGTAGCGCTAAGGCTTATAACGTATTAGGCCTAATATCTTCTTATATATAACGAATATATATTATATATTAATATTAAAGTTATAGAGTTTTATATTAATAATAATATTATTCTTTTATATCTATTTATTTATATTATATATATACTTTAATTACTTAATATCGAATTTTTCTTATCTTTAATAATTATATATTATAAATATTTAAAGAAAAATATAAAGTATAGAGATAGTTACTTAATAAATAAAGTAGACTTTATTTAAATAATTTAAATAGTAAGAAAGAACGCTATAACGATATAGAATATTAAATATATATAATAAAAGAGTAACTTATTTCTAATTTAACTCTAACTTATTCTTAATAGATTTAAATTTAAAGTATTAGAATTATCGTCGAGTTTATTATTAAATATATCTATAGATATTATATCTAATAATAATTTAATTTTTATATTTTATATATTAATAAATATAAAGTAAATTAATTAGCTACTTTAATAAATAAAGATTAAAAATTATAATTCTATAATATTAGAAAAGCTTAATAAAGTAGTTAGCTTAGCTCTCGCTATTAATATCTTATTTAAGATTATTAATAATAATCTTATTAAGATAGATAAATAAAAAAAGAATAAGAGTAAGCGTAGATAAGTATATTAAGATAAAATATAAATTATAAATCTCGATATTATTTAATAGCGAAAGAATAACTTCGCTATAAAGTAATTTAAATAAGAATTTTAAAAATATTATTATATCGAACTAGCTATTTTTAAAGATATAAAGAGAGGTAGAAGTTTAATTAAAAAAAAGGCTACTGTACCTCCCACGCTAGATTTATTAAGATTACTATTCTTCGCTATATCGAAGGCTCTCTCGTAGACTCCTTTATAGACTTTCTTAGAGACTCCCTCGTAGACTTTCTTAAAGACTTTATCGTAGACTTTATTATAGTAATAATAGTAAGATAAAAGAGATAGAAGCGATAATAGAGATAGAAGCGATAAATAAGATAAATAAGATAGACGAGATAAATAAGATAAATGAGATAAAAGAGATAAGATAATAGAAGAAGAGGTAGTAGAAGAAGAGATAGAAGAAGAAGAGATACGATTTTCACGAAGTAATAGATCGATAAAATTTAAAAAACGATAAATTAATTCTTCGATATAAAAGCCTTAATAGTAAGAAAGAATTAGAATTTTTTATCTTTATTATATAATATTACTATATAATTTTAATAAGAAGTAGATATTTTAAGTATTAAATCGGATTTATTAATTTTAAAAATTTCGTATTTTCTAGTATTTCGCGTTTTCTTATGAAACTAAGTATATTATATTAATTTTATTAAAAATAAATTAGATTATAATCTTAAATGCTATTAAATAATTTAGAATTAACTATAAATAATATTATATTAATAATTAACGATAAAGATTTTACTTTCTTAAAATACTTCTCTCTAAGAGTATTGTAAAAAATACTCGAGTAAATTACAAATTCATACCCCAAAACCATACCTCTAATTACATTTTCATATTCCAATGGGATATGAATCGGTAATTTGTTATTTCATGGGGTATGAAAATGTAATTTGCCATAGTTTTCGAAAATAGGGCGCTCGGTGTAGTACTCGTACCCAAGGGTATCAAGCATGCACCCGAATGGCACCCGGTATTTGAAGTTGCGGAATTCGCTTTTTTTTTTTTTTTTTTTTGGTTTTTTGGGGGGGGGGGGGGGGGGGGGGGTTGGTTTTTTTTTTTTTGTTTTTTTTGGGTGGGGGGGGGGGGCCGGGGGGGGGGGGGGGGGGGGGTTTTTTTTTTTTTTTTTTTTTTTTTTTTTTTTTTTCTCTCCCTGGGTGAGGGGTCTCCCCCCCCCCCCCTTAAAATTTTTTTTTTTTTTTTTTTTTTTTTTTTTTTTTTTTTTTTTTTTTTTTTTTTTTTTTTTGGTTTATATTTTTTTTTTTTTTTTTTTTTTTTTTTTTTTTTTTTTTTTTTTTTATAATAAAAATTTTTTTTTTTTTTTTTTTTTTAAAATTTTGGGGGGGGGGTTTTTTTTTTTTTTTTTTTTTTGTGTTTTTTTTTTTTTTTTTTCAAAAATTTTTGATTTTTTAAGTTTTTTTTTTCCCAAAATCTCATGCACTATGACGCTATAACGTTATTCGTATGTCTAATTGTTTTGCTAACGTTTAAAGAAAGCTAGGAACACTATATACAGCTATTTTCGAATGCCAGCGTCTACCCATAGCACTCTGTGCGCTTGTTAATACTCTCTGCTCAACAAAAAGAATATGAATCACCCAATCCTGCAAAGTCTGGCTTCGGCGGCACGTCTGAATTGCTTACCGCTGGCGCAGCCGCTTTGTTCGAATGCGGCACGCCTCTCAGTACCCAGCTTCTCGTACTTTGAGGAACTGTCAAGAGGCTGCCATCACGAGCGAACTCCGGATTGAAAGTAACGTGGCCGAGGTGTTCCCATCCCAAGCCTTGGAGCAGGTCTTGATGTGCGAGAGTGAAGTGCGCGTATTTGTCCACTTGCGGGTGGATCTTGCTGATACACGCCAGCAGGTATTTGGCCGCCTCTTTGCCTGGTGTTTGCAGTTCGAAGACTCTGAAATCGAGCTGTCGTATGTCTTCAGTGTCGCATCAGCATTTATCACGTTTTGTATATGAGAGACATGAGGGACACACAATAGTGCTCTTTGCCCTGCATGTAGGTTTTCCGGTTCGTATGCAGAGCATTCTCAATATAGTAGTAAAGATTTGCATTCACGCAGTCGGGAGGTATATCAAATGTTCCCGGCTCGTCTTTCCATGGAACGTGCCAGTATTGATTAGGATGAAATTGTTGGATCCAGGCGGAAGCCTCAGTGAGCTGTGGCGCACAGTGACTGTATGACTTCAAAAGAAAGGAATTTGTGATGGGTCCGATGGAACCCATCAGTCCCTTGTAATAGTTGTGCAGTGCCACATCTCTGCGCGATTCTATGGGGCTCATAAATACACCGCGTGGATCTCTTAACATGACGTTTGTTAGCGGATCTGCTGTTGTGAATCTCGAGCTCATATTCGCGATTTGTAGAATGTCCTGTTGGAGAACTTGTGAGATCCCATAAGTCGCCATGGCATGGGGGTTTTCTTGAAATTCCTAATAGATGACAAGAAAAAAGTTTGGGTGCAAAGATGAAACTCCAGCTCCTGTAATAAAAGTAGAAGGAACGGGGGGGTGAACGAGATTGGAAAAACAAATACGAGAAGAGCACTTTTCATGATCGGAGCATGAGTGGTTAAAACATCGTTGCAAAGAGCAGCAAACACGGCAATGCCAGAGACACACGACAATCAGTACGCCTGCAGCAAACGGAGATCAATGAGTGCGCTCCGCGGCATGCTGTCGACGGAACCATGTCTAAGGTGTCTGACCCAAAGATACAAGAATGGATCCAAGGAAATCGGGCAGGGTAGTCAATGACTCCAGCTACGCACTTCTAGAACATCCACAGGCAGATCAGGGAAGACTTTCAGAATTCGATTTGACGAAGAAACAGAACAATCAGGTCCATCTTCGGAGTACTTCTCGTTGTTGAAATAGGTTTGAAGGATGCATATATTTTAATCAACACCGGAAGGTAGCAGTAGAACGTCTCAAGGGGAACAAAGATGGAAACAAGATGAGCCTTCCGGTGTGGCATGCACGGATGCAAACAGCGCGCCTCTTGCGGCAAGCGCTTGACGCTGAGCCTCCGCTCTGACCTTCCACCCCCACTTCTCTTGCTAAAGTACTTTTCCAACAAGCATTCATCCGTACAACCACTGCCTCATTCCTCCTCAAATCCTTATATAGATCCAACCGACCATGCTTCCCCAACACCTCTAACAATGACGCCTGCCCCCACCCCCGCCACCACTCACCCGCCAACCCCCACCTTCCCCCCTCACCCCGCTCCCCGCAACTGGCTCATCACCGCCTGCACCTCCCCCATCGGCATCGCCATCGCGCGTCAAGTGCTCTCCCACGGCGATAACGTGATCGCAGGCCTGAATCCGCGACACCTTGCAGAAGGGCACGGTGACGGAGGGGAGGAAGAGGGGGATGCGCAGCGAGGAGAGGAGTTCCGGGAATTCTGGCGGGAGTGTGAGGAGGAAGGATGGAAAGAGAGGTGTAAGGGGGTGGAGTTGGATGGGAGGTGTGAGGGCCCCTTGTTGCTTGATTGTTTGGCTGGCTGCTTGGGGGTTAGAGGGAGGGGCTGATTCTGGGGGAACAGTGTGATGGGACTGTGCCAAGCTGCTGTTGCTGAGGCGGTGGAGGTATTTGGCAAGTTGGATATTCTGCTATGTTGCGCGAGCGAAGGTTGGCCTCTACACTGATTGCTTGAGTGGGGTAAGTGAGTGCTGATATGTTGTTACAGCGCTGGTCGGCACGGTTGAAGAGCTCGCGGCCTCTCCACGGACACAAACTTTAGTACGAGAACAATTCGAAAGCAACTTCTTCGGTCCTGTCAACTGCATCAAGGCAGCATTACCGACGATGCGGAGAAGGAATAGTGGACATGTGATGATATTGACAGGTATAAGTCAGTCCATATATCCCAGCTTGTGAGGCCTGCACTAACACAATGTCCAGCCGGGCATCTGGGAACTCCGGGTTTAGGGATGTATTGCGCTGCCGGATGGGCACTTGAAGGCTTCTGCGATAGCCTCGCGTATGAGATTGCTCCCTTCAATATCAAGATGACTATCGTCCAACCTACGATGGAAATTGGTGTCCTAACCAACAAGATCATATCTGCGCCCTCGATGCCCCAGTATTCACCGGACAACAACCCGGCGCCATTGTTTAGGGGTATAATTGGAGGTCTGTTAGATCGTCTTGATCTTGTCCAGCAGAATGGAAACTATGAGCCTGCCTCTTTGGCAGGCGACCGAATCCAAACCCTCTACCCGAAGCTTCCGCCCGAGATGCAGTCTTCGCTCCTTGCGGAGACGATCAATGCCATCACAGCGATCGGCGGACATGACAATCCGCCCGCGAGACATATCGTTGGCCATGAAGGTGTAGCCAGTGTGAAAGAGAAGTTGAAAACTGTGAGCGAGGAGCTGGAGGATTTCGTGGACTGCAGCTGTGCGGTTGATATCGATGACGGCCATGGCATCGAAGATGCAAACGGCAGTATAGATGGGATGTTGTAGACAACAGCGCTGATCTCTGGAATCCAGGGCCGTATTGTGCTGTGTCATTTTTTATATTTGGCCAGAGCGCCAATCTTCAGACGGCTGCCTGTTTCGCAGAGGACCCAGTTTTTTTTGTATCTAGGCATCCCAGAAAACGAAGTTTAGATTCCGAGGCCTGTGGTGATCATCCTGGCGTAGTAGGCTTAGGGGTCGTGGCTTTCGGCGTTGTTGCCCCTTTGTCGCCGGCAGCTTTGCTCTTTCGCCTCGACTTTTTCTCCTTGGTTCCTGGTGTGGTTGGACTCTTCTCGCTGCTCTTTGTTGATTTTCTGAGCGGTGCTGGCAAGTCCTCCGTCTTCAGCTGCGGCGTCGGTGCTGCACTCTTCGCCGGAGTTGCCACCTCAAGTGATTGGCTTGAGGGTTTCGACACTTCTTGGGCTTGGCTGGAGGTTTTTGACGTATTCATAGACGTTGTCAAAGAAGTGTTGTGCGATTTCGACAGCTTGAATGACCCCGGCTCGCCCACGATAGGATTCTCGTCCATGTACTCGTTTGCGTAGCGGTCAGATAGATCGTAGGAGTACGCTAGCATGTGGACGCCTTGGAGGCCCATGTCCGAAGTAACTTTAGAAGTTTTCGCGCTGGTAGTAGTCTCTTGCGTTGCCGGCAAGGGTGTGCCTCCTGCCGGCATCGGTGTGCCCTCTTTGCTCGCCTGGGTTGCCTGGAAGCTTGAACCGGGTGTAGGAATTTTTGATACTGGAGGGAGGTATGTATGGCCAAGCGAAGGGGTGAAGCTGGGAAGGGAAGACGCTGTGGAGAGTAGCTTGGTGAGGGAGGCGACTGTCGAGAGCTGGCGCATCGAGGTAAGCGCGGCCGATGAATAGCAGTACGATGGCACATACCAGCCTACTACCAAGGATATTCCCCACCGAAGGCGCCAGGTAAACATTCTCCCCCACCACATAGTACGAGCTGATTCCCGTGACCTCGTCCGGCGCGCCCTGTCTCTTACGCCTATTCTGCTTCCGTATAACCCAGACCCCGCTATGGTCTTGCTTGGAATCGTTCTCAGACGGGTCATGGGTGACCATGAATTCCAGCCCTTGCATCGTTCGCAACCTGCCCTCAAAAGCTTCGCGAGTCTGGATAATGTAGAACATGTTGGGGTTGTAGAGCGCTTGCGTAGTCAGGATGGCGTTGTTGGAAGTGGCATCGAAGAACGGCGATTCGGCGAAGTAGGGAAGAACTGTCAGAGACATCCAGTGAGCTGACGGAGCTTGGGAAGCGGCGACTCTACAGTGACTTACCGGTGTTAGTGTGGATGCCGCCCATTTCCTGAGCCTTGGGAGATCGCCATTGTATCTCATCCAAAGGCGGCTCCTGCGCCATGGTTTGGAATTCGTTGTCAAGACTGACATGTGGAGAGTCAAGACGAGGTGATCAAGCAAGTATCAAGAGAGATATGAGATATGTTCCCTGTCTTCATGCAAGGGGAGAATGACTGTTTTTTAGCGTATGCAAAACCAGTGGGATTTCTTGGCAGTCAAAAGCCAGCTATCTTTTCTGGCTCCATCAGTTATTCGGTACCTTGTGCCAGGCTGGCCTTTCCAATTTGCACCTTGCTTTGCAAGCTGTGCTCTAAATTCAATGTACAGCAAACTGTACAGCACTCAACAAAGGCCCGCAAGTATTCATCCACCCTGTCTGCAAGTACACTTCAGCAGCTCCATGATGCCAAGGGCAGCAACTAGGCTAGCTTGTCTATGAACGACATCTCTTGCCTCTCGCAACATGATCTACTCTACAAAAAGTCTTACTCTGGTACAGTAGACTACTGTGTCGGTATCCCGCCTACTCAAGTGCTAAGGTCTCGCAAACGTCCATATTCCAAGCCTTTGTTTCACCGGAACCGCAAGGACGTAGGCCCATCACGAAGTTTGGTATGAAGGCGTGCCTGGATGTCGAGTTTATCTGCACCTGGTGAAGCTACAATGGCTGCCAATGCCAAAGATCTCGAATCTGGAGCCACCCTGACAAGCATTGGGAGGATTGGCGCTTAGAATGAAATGGAAACATTGGAAACATCGGCATCGAGGATTCCCCCTTCCCAGTTCCGGTATTGTTTCAGCCCCTCGAGTGGCGACCTATATAGTACGTGTCCCCCAGCGACTTGAAATAGATTCTTCACTTTTCACCTGCAGTTTTATGCAATCTCAAATAAACTCCATCCACGTACGAGAGTACATTCTCGCCTTTGCATCGATAGTTGCACTTCTTCCTGAATTTGCTGTTCTACCATGGCGAGCATAGGCAAAGCCACGATCGCAGATCGTGTAGATGCCTGCCTCTGCTTTTTCAAACGCCTCCTACCTTCCGACAACAACGTTGCAGGGGCAAGCGACAACCAAGGCATGGATCGAAAGCGGGACAGTATGAGCCGAAGATCACATGAGCGTTCTGAATTTGTGGGCTCCGCGTCAAGGTGTTTTCATTCTGGGACAAGCTTCGATTGAGCACCACTTGAGACACAACTCGAAGCTCTATGACTTGTTACTCGGAAGCTCGAAAGTTTGCATGCGAATATCCTTTACGGTAAGTTATCCTTGGACGATGCACTTTTCGATGGGAATCTCCAATGCCACATCCGCACACGCTCATCGTATAACAGTGATCGTGGCCCTTGATCCCGAATCCAGACATGCAGGGTTCTGCGCGATACCTACAAGACAGGCTACTGAAGAACATGACCAGCCACAGGTACTCCTCAATAATGATGCAGCTGACGATGACTCTCCCACCCTGCCACCAAGCTCCTTGAGTTCCTCTTCAGACTTTCTCTCGAGCCAATGGGTTGTTGATCCTTCTGCTGATATTGCAGCCGCGAAAGCCTGTGTGAGTTAAAAGATCTATGATTTGGACGGACTGTCGTCTCTCATTCGGTATTCAGGGTCTCGGTACCATGATCAAGAGGTGGAGGCCTTCGCTGGTATGGACGAGCTCGACAACAACATGACTTCGCAATCTTCGAATGCGGCGCTGATCATGAATCGTAAGTACCCGCAAGCTGATGAAAGTCTTCGTAATCGGTTGTCCGAATTAATTTTCGAAGGTGGAACCGAATCGCTAGCCTTGGAAAGAACAATGAGACGTCATCGGCTTCCAGTCTCACATGTCAACAAGCGCCTGGCTTTGGACCGCGAAGACCGAAAATTTCTACATGGGAAAGCTGAGGCCGTACTATACCCAAAGCATCAACAAATTACCCCCAAATCGAGAGATCCCACACACTTGCACCGAATTTCTGCTTCAGAGATTGTGCCTGAGCCACTACGTCCCCAAGAATCACCTTTCCCTTCTCAGGTCTTTACAAGTACTTCAGATTCCTCGCCTCAGATTGCAGGATTCGACTTTCTCCCAGTACCCAAGGTGGATAGCAACGGCATGTTTGAATGTCCCTATTGCTACATACTGTGTCCAGTTAAAAAGTCGATTGGGAAACACTGGAGGTGACCATTTCTTGCCTCCTCTATATTGTGGAGCTGCAAGTGTTTAAACCATCAAGGCACCATGTCATGCAGGACCTCGAGACCTATATCTGTGTGTTTCTAGAATGCTGTTTGCCACAAAGAATCTTCCGGTCGTTCGACGGTTGGATCGCGCACATTCGATCGGCACACATGCCCTTGAAATGGGACTGCTGGGGTCCAGATCACAAGAGAATGACATTCGTGGATGCTGAATCGTACATCGAGCACTTGAGACGTGATCACCGCGGTGCATGGAGCGCTCGCAACTCCCCTGGCAAGCGGAGGTGAACGGACGACGCGAGGATACGATTTTCCATATTTGCCCATTTTGCAACCTTTGCCCAGACGGCGTTAAGTCCCAGGACACTTTACAGGGCCATGTTGGTCAGCATCTCGAGTCGTTGGCTTTGCTGTCTTTGGCATAGCTCCAAGGTCCACGAGCAGTGCACCAGATGACCTAGGGCAGCTCTTTTTGCCAAAACAACAAGCATCGCGAAATTTCACAGACCCTTTTGTCGTGGACGCATCTGTGACTCCATATATTGATTCGAATGAGGGAGGGATGCTACCGCAGCCAGAGAACATCGGAATTGATCGGGCCTGGAGAGATCATGAGTGAGCCTCTTGCCGCGACGGTACGGACATCCAAATCGAAGACGATGAGGGTTTGGCATCTTTTCAAGAACGCTGGATGAAGGAGACTTGAGCTAGGAGGAATGCCGCCCGGGAGTTGCTGCATCGATCTGGCATGGCGCCAGGAAGATGATGCTTTCCGTGTGTATTAGCTTGATTCCAAAGTCCCGACGTAGGGTTGCTGGACCTTTTCGTTTGAGAAGCAAGTAATTCCCAAAAAACACATGGATATGGGGGTTTGAAGATGCTGAGGTGGGCTAGTGGGTGCACCAGTGGTGTCGAAGAATTTGGGGTGGGGTTGGGAATACTAGCCATACGTTCTCTCATGCGATCTTTAGGTCGAAGCTCACGCCTATGTACAGTTATACTCTCGGTTTCAGTAGCGTCGTTATGGTTGGCTTCTTTTGTGCACTTCTCCGCTTGTCGCGTGTCGCTTTCTATCTCCCCACACTTACTCGCACCGTGAGACCTTGAAAGGGTTTATCGCTTCAAAGTCAATGCGCAACAGTCTTAAGGGTCTTCTCGAATGCTGTTACCCCCGAGAACATCCCTCTCAAGCATGAACGTTGATCAACATGCTACCGGTCACATGCCTTTTGCTCCTCCTTCTCCAACCCTTCTACGGCGCCCAAGCGGCTCCTGCCGCTGTCGATCCAGCTTCTCTTTCCTTGAACACCAGTATTGCACCGGATCTCCGCACAATTCCCTCTCTCTCTAGCGAAGAGTGAGCCCCGTTCCCCCAACTCTTCCCCAATCCACTCTCACTGACGACCCTGCATCTCCTCTACAGATCCATCAACGCGCTCGCCCTCTTCTTGAACACCTCGAATCCGGCAGACATAGTCTTATACCGCGTCCCAGACACCAGCACCCTCCTCCGTATCGGCCTCCAGGATAACCCCATCCAGAAGCCCAATATCGGTCGCACCATCCTACGCACTCAGCAATCCTTGGCCGCGTTCATCAAGACCTACGATGCGGATGATACACCCCTCGTACGTACAACATGCTGTACCCATCCCTTCCCCCACCCCCCACACACACATCACACAAGCCCAAAGCAACACCAGCTGACACGAGCAGGCCCCTCTCGACGACCCCTACGAATCTGACATCCGCTACTCCGGCTGCTTCTTCGGCGTCGCCACCTTCCCGATCGGATACCACCACCTGACGTACGGGATCGTGATGAACGTGCTGCAGGGGCTGTGGCTGTATCTGTACCGAGCGGGCCGGTTCCAGATGGCGGCGTTTGAGGTCCGGGATGATCAGTTCGGCACCGTGGGCGTTGGGAAGATCACGCCTGATAGGCCGGACGGGTTGGTGCTGGGGATGGTGGGCGCGGGGAATGGGAGTGTGAGTTGACAGGTGAAGGAAGAAGAGTAGAGCTATGGGGTTTCTAGATTGGGGGACTGTTGAGGTCGTGATGGTTTATCTTTCTAGCTACTGGTTTTTCTGTAGAACTTTTCTCGTCATGATTTCTCCTAGGAATCCATCGAAAAGTATCATGCTCGCTTGGTATGCTGGGGTATCTTATGAACGCCTAGGAATGTCGCGGAAACCCGCACCCAACCTTCCCATCCCCTTCGAATCACAGCCGCAACTACCTCTTTCTCTTCGCCTTCTTCACGATCTGCGGGTGCTTATAGACATAGAAGTCCTCGCGCATCTCGAAGAGCGTCCCGAGATCCTGGTGATTGCGTATGCCACGGAAATTTTTCCATGAATTCTGCGTTGCAATATCCTTGGAATTGAAATGGCCATCGATGTCAACAATCTTATTCTCGAGCTGGGTGAGGTATGAGATGCTGTGTAGCACGTCCTCGTCTTGGGAGGCAACTGCAGACAATTGATCGTCGCCGTTGGTTTGGACAGTTGCTCCGTCTTCTTTATCCCCTTCTGATGCCGTGGCTTCGTGAATCTCGTCTTCTTGCGGTTTGGTGTTTGCTGAGATTGCGGTGCCTTCTGACCGCGTAGGTCCTCCAGTACCATGCTCATCCGCCTTACTATCTGGCAAGGCTTCATCCTCTTTTGGCTCCATGTCCGGCAAGTTGCCATTCTCGGCCATCTCACTGGTTGTCAGGACTCCGTTACCATTTTCGCTAGCTTGTAACCCTTTTCTAGCGTTGATGTCATTATCCACACCGGCTTCAGCATCGTTGAGACTGTTCTTCACATCGACTGGGGACTGTTCATCGTCACCGGCCGTGGTGGCTTTTGCTTCGAGTGTAGTATCTCCTGAAGGTCCTGATTCAAACATACGGCGAGAGTATTTTCGTTGCCCAGGAGGAATGGCGAATGTTAGTGTTTTGTCATCGACCTTGACAATCTAGGAATTGTTAGCGATGACCTATGGCATACTAGCATAATCTCAAGGAGTTCGCTTACCTTGCAATCCTTCTCTACGAGCACCCCATTCTTCCCGCGACCAAAAACCCTCGAGTAGCTAAAGTAATCTCCGACCTTGAATATCTCATTTTGTATCAGTAAGTCCAACTTGATCTTAGTGCTTTCCCCAGCAAGAGCATCATGGTTCAGCTTCTGCTTCTGTCCCCAGAACGCCTCAAACTGACTTTCCTTGTACGCATCAAATTGCCCTTGAGCCCGTTCCTCCATTGCCTGAGCTGCATCAGCTTGCCATTTGGGATCCAAACGCCCGGAAGAGAGGTCCTCCTGGAATTCACGAATGCCGCGGCGGAAGTCAGGGTCGTACTTGAAGAATGCCATAGGAATGGAGTACCCATCAGAATTGATGGGGACATTAGGAGGAAGGGTTTCGCGAAGGTCCTCCCAGTCTGATTTGGTGAAGTTCTCGTATGTCTTGGGGTTGGAGAATTCTGCATGGAGGTCTTCGTCGGCAAGAGGTGACTTCTCGTTGGTCACTAGCCATTCTGGATCGCTTCTGTTTACCTTCGCAGCACGACCAGCATTACGCTTGGCGGGGGTGGTGGCGACGGCAACAGGCTCGACAGGTGCAGCGAAGAGCTCATCCTCATCAGTCGTTGAATCTGTGTACTTGACTGAACTCTTGCGCTTTCCACGGTCCATATTGCGTTTGATAGGAGTTTCGGTCGTCGATTTGTTACGTTTCGCTGACGCCTCGAATGAACCTTCGTCTGGAGATGTGGCTTTCACCTTCCGTTTGCTCGAAGCCTGGTTTTTAGATACCAGCTTTGCAGCAGAACCGTTCTTCATGCGAGCGTAGCGTTTTCGCAATGTATCTGGAGCGTGCGTCAGGCCTGTTCGCTCTGTCCATGCTTTGCTGATCTCGACCCAATTGCATCCTCTTTCTTTCATTTCCACCACCATCTCGTCAGCAGTCCCCGCTGTATTCTGAGCTCCGGAGTTCGCATGTTTTGAGCGTGGACGTTTCGCAGACTTGACCACCGTCAATGACTGCTTCGAGGTCTCATCTGACTCATCTGATTCATCCGAAAATCCTGTCTCCGGCTTCCCATCGCTAGCTTCTTCGGCCGTAGTTTTCGTACGTCTAGAAAAACGTTCATCTGACGGTCCATCAAAAGCATTGGCTCTCATCTGCTTTTCAACTGCACCACGGGGCTTTCGACGTGCAATATTCTTGGAATGCTTCGAAATTACAGAAGAAGATTCATTTGAAGATTCCTCAGAGGGTTCAGCTTCCACCTTCTGCTTCCTCGGCGTTCTGAGCGTATCCTTTGCGCGGCGAGAAACAGCTTGGTCAGTGCCTCTGTCAAAAGTGCTTTTCGTGTATGGGCCTTTGATTCCTGGGCAAATGACTAGTTCTCTCATGCCCATGTATCGATCTCGCAATGCACCCTCCGCAGGCGTTTCGCCCGTCAAGTCTTGCCACGCTTCCTCGATCCTGGGCCAGGCCTTTCGACTTGTCTTCATTCTCACTATCAGCTGGTCCCCGGCATTTGCATGTTCCCATGACTGCGGAAAGTCTTTTTCGGGGGCAATCTCATTGGCAGAAGCTGCACTTTCAGTTGTCAAAGATTTAATCGCAGGTTCTGAGAGTTTGGAGATAGTACGTGAAGACTTTTCTGAGGGTCCGCCGATTGCAGGGCTTGGACGTCTGACTCCATTTGTTGGAAGCGTGGATATGTCTTCTGAAGTCTCCAAGAGTTCCTCAACAACTTTGGACTCCACGTTTCCTCCAATTGCGCCGCCGGCTTTTGAAGATGCCATTATTTTTTTGAGGCGCCAATACCTATCCGGCAATACGCCTCCAGCAGGCTTCTTCCCCGTCGCTCGTTCCCAACGTTGCTCAATCTTAGCCCAGGTGCTCTTTGTGTTCTCCTCCTTCATCTTCACCAACATTTTATCCGCGTCACTTGCTTGATCCCATGTCTGTGGTAGATCTGTAGGAAGGGCAGTCTCGTCCTCTTCACCAGGAACTGTGCGTGAATTACTCGAAGGGCTGGCCACAGAGATTGATTGCTCGACATGGTGTTCTGAAGACTCGTCAGAAGAGCGAGTATTACTATCCGGCTTGTTAACTATGTCGTCAATACTCTCAGACTTGGCCCGCTTGTGGGGTGATTCGTCAGAAGCCTCTGCTGGTGATGCGGCGTCCGCCTTGCGTTTCTGAGGAATCATCTTGATTTGTACAGAGGGTGTGGAATACGCATTACACATGAGGTAGACTGACTTTAAAGAGTGCTCAAGCAGAGCCTCTCACATCTTGGGCACAAGTAAATGAAGTGTTCAGTTTGAAGCTCAGAATTGTTTGCGAACAATAAACATGCTTGCTGTTCCTGTCGCGGCTATTCTTCAAGCGCCCTCCGGCAGCCGCACCCCGAGCGGAAGCCTCCCCGACCCTAATGTCAGAAAGGTCACTGCATGCAGCAATTGATGAACCGACCTTGATTACAGCTGTTCTTCTAGTCTATTGAAGTGAGAATTGATTTTTCCCGGAGCAGTCGTTTCTAACGTCAATGCCTGAGATAGCTACATAACTACAATAGCTAGTAGTAGTGGTGGTTCTATAAGGGAGGACGGGCAACAAAGCAAGATGGTCAAATCAACACAGATAGCCAGGATCGATGGCCTCCTGCTCGCAGCCACCGTTGACGACGAGCAAGCGGAGACCGAGCTTGCAGATCCCAAAGCAAATGCGAAGATGATCATACGGCGGCTGAACCGCAATTCTGAGCCTCAGGCCAGCATAGAAGCTGGCAAATACACTCTGCAGTACGTCGCCTGCTCCCTCTCCCCTTTGCCGAGAAGCTAGTACTGAACTCTTTGGGTGCACTGCAGCTATTTGATACAAGACCAACTCTGCTTCCTCACCATCTGCGACCATTCCTACCCCCGCAAATTAGCCTTCACCTACCTCTCCGACCTAGCCACCGAATTCACAACCACGTACTCCTCCTCCCAATACCTCTCCCCCAATTGCCGCCCTTACGCTTTTGTCGAATTCGACACTTTTATGCAGCGCACAAAGAAGACCTACCAAGACAGCCGCGCGAGTCAGAACCTGGATAAACTGAATGATGAGCTGAGAGATGTGACGAAGGTCATGACGAAAAATATTGAGGATTTGCTGTATAGAGGGGACAGTTTGGAGCGGATGGGTGAGATGTCAGGGAGGTTGAAGGAAGATAGTAAGAAGTATAGGAGGGCGGCAGTCAGGATTAACTGGGAGTTACTGCTTAAACAGTATGGACCGTTTGTGGGAGTGGGAGTGATGATGATTGTACTCATATGGTGGAGATTCTTTTGATCGTTTTGTGGCACGCCAAATACCCATTGCGTCGTGCGCTTCTAGGGCTGTTTGCATAGTGTACTGATGGCTTTCATAGCCTTGTTGCCGGTGCTCCTCTACATCGTCACTTTGCACGTCAGGTCTTCCTTATGGGATCATCAGTTCTCGGCTTCACTGTGACCGTCAATATTTGTTCTGCCTGATGGCACTGATAGACTTGGTACCCGTGCTTCCTGTCACTATGGTAGTACATAACCATTCCTGCTAATGAGATTGACAGATGTGCTGCAAGTGCTTCTCTTCTTTGCAAACTTAGAATCCTTATTGACAAGCGGCAACGACAAGTGTGATGTGCGTATCTCTTCAGCACCGGGAATACACACGTTCAACGGTCTTTGCACTCCATTCAGCCCGTTCTCCTAATCCACCTCCTCAAGAATATCCTCCAACTTCTTCTTCGCCCCCAGCCCTTTCCCTATTTTCCCAGGCCCTCCCTTCGCCTTCGCCACATCGTCCGCCCCCAGCCTCCTCGCCTCCTTCTCACTATTCCTGACACAAGAAAGACATTTCCCCTCTGCCATCCCACATCTGGACTCCTCGCCCATCTTCTTCTCTGCCTCAAGCACCTTCGCATGCAGTCGATCCAACTCTTTACAATTCTTGTCCACCACTTCAAACAACTCCTCACACTTCACATGCAGTTCCTGATCGAGTTTCCAAAACCTTTCTCTTGCCTTGTCCAGGCGCTTGTTCTGAACCATCATGTCGACGAGCGTGCGAGCAGAGAGTCGAATATCATAAAGGAGAGTTGCGTGCGTTAGAGCTTGCAAATCGCTGACCGGTCCTGAAGCGGAGCGTAGTGTGAGGTTTGATGCGAGCAAGGCGTTTGTCAGTGAGATGACGTATCGCTTATGGCGCTGGTATGTGGTGTTTTGCGATGTCGTTTTGTCCATGATCTTGTCATAGCGTGTTTGAGCTTGTTTGTGTTGAAAGAAAAGCGCCTCGTACTGTTTGCGCGTTGGGCCCATAACGCTCACTTGCGCTTTGTATGCGGCGACGGCGGTTTCATATTCTGCTTCGGGATCATCAGGAGGAATGGTAGTCTTGGCTGAGTGTTTTGTGCTCGGCTTATAGGGAGGGATGGTAGCCATAACTGGAGACTGGCTGGAAAGGCGTGGTGGTGGTGTATGGGGTGAACGTGGGTAGATGTTCGTGAAGACAAATGAGCGAGAATTGAGTGTTTAACGCCCCAAATGTGGTTGGAACACATCCTTAAAGGGCTATTGGATCACCGTATTTGACGCGCGCTTGGAATTTTTGCTTGCAAAGTGAAGGAGTTTGGAGAAGTGTGTTGTTGTTTACTTCTTTAGCTTCCAACATCGTTCTTCGGGAACAGAGCACTTCTTGGCCTCTCATGTGCTCAAGCAAGACAGCAATATTTGTAGCCATCGTAGGTTATATCATGACTTTTACCATGCCTAGAATTTCGGTCTCCAAAAGGACCAGTGACGATATTTTGCGTCGTTCCTCACATTTGGTAGTATAGTACGCCCAGTGGTCTTCTACCCACATGATTGTTTTCACTGGTTGGCCTCTTGCATCAATAAAGGCGCGCTCGAAGAGCAATGGATCATCTTGGGACCCGCTATCTCGATGCATCTCTTTGGATCGGGCCGGGGCTGTGGTTCCAGTTTCTGTTGCAGTGTCCTGGAAATTTCGACGAATCAATGACACGGTGGACGCCTGCAATAGTATCTAAAGGAACGCTGAGCCAAATATGCATAGTTCTCGTCTGGCATCTTCTACTCACTCCGCAGATACAAGAGTCAGTCCTAGACTGAGGTGTGGGCGAAGCGAAAGGGGCAGGTTGTATCATCAAAGATAACCAGGCTAAACTGTTACTTCTCATTTACGTAAGCTGGAGGTTTTTAGGACCGGACCAACAGCTGCTTCACAATCGAGCGGGCAATTTCTGCGACCTTCCAGCGCTCCAGCTCCTCCGGATCTAGAAAGCTGTAGAAGTAAAGAAAATCTGACTTATCATCACCATTGTCTAGGGTTTCTTGAACTGGGGAAGACCTACGTTCGCAAGGATTATAAATCTCTAAATCCACGAAACCATCTTATCGAAATGCTTGCGCAGGACGATGGTTCCATTCTTCGTCTTGATCTTCCATCGATGCGATTCCGCATCTCCGCGGGTCTGTTCGACTGTAAAGCTCAACTCGTCGAACTGGGCCAGAAGAGTCAGTCCTGACGTGAGTAAACCTTGCTGCTCCTCGGGCAGCTTGGAGCAGGCGATATCCCAAAGGTTAGCCATAGCGCTGGAGTGAGATGCATGTCTACACTGCCACGTTCAAAGCTGATATGGAAATCTTGTCGTTGTCGGAGCATGACAAGGTCTTGGCGCTAAAAGGTACACCTTTAGCCCTATCGGGAGATTACTCGTAAATATTGGGACGAGCGAGCGTAAGGGGCCAGAAGGGGCCGTTTAATTGTACTATTCGAAGAGGCCTAGTATAACACACTTAGGCCAATTACTTGGGGGGACAACTGAAACATGTGCCGCACATCGTAACAAGTTTGGAACATGGACTGGGAACATTCTTCCAGGTTGTATTCTGGGTTCATCGCTCCCATATTTTGATTTCGTTCATCTATCTCTTTCCAAACCACGTCCTAACGCTTTGGCGATATGAACTCTTAATGCCATGAAATATCTTTGCAAATCCTGCAGCTGCTCTTTGGCTCTAGATAGAAGGTCAAGTCGTCTCTCCAGATGCAGACGCGGATTCAGCATCGTTCTCAGCCTCAATACGCCTACGGACTTCTTCGAGCAATTGCTGCGAAATAATACGATTAGAGTCGTCCGGTGCCAGAATATTCTCCTCTATCCTGAACACCTGCTCAAGGAGCTCCGCTGCTCTTCCATAATGACCGTTTCCCATACCAATATAAGCTTCAGCAAGCTTGTGCTGCGATGCCAAACGATCAGGGTCTTCCGATGCTAGCGTTTCCTCATCTATCCTGAACACCTGCTCAAGGAGCTCCGCTGCTCTTCCATAATGACCGTTTCCCATGGCAATATAAGCTACTGCAAGCTCGTGCTGCGATGCCAAACGATCAGGGTTTTCAGGTGCCAGAAAACTCCATCTATCCTGAACACCTGCTCAAGGAGCTCCGCTGCTCTTCCATAATGACCGTTTCCCATGGCAATATAAGCTTTTACAAGCCAATACTGCGTAGCGAGGAGACCGGGATCCTTGACATCTAGTATTTGAGATCGTATGTCAAGTACTTGTTGAAGGATTTTTGCCGCTTCCTCATACTGCTTATTGCCTATGTAGGCTCTTCCAAGCATAAATTCAGATGCTATACGACCACGATGTGTAGACACCATCGATCCCTTTTGTATCTCGACTATTTGCTCAAGAAGCGGTGCTGCTCTTTCAAACTGCTTGTTTCCAATATATGCGCATCCAAGCAGGTGTCGTAACCACAAAAGATACTCATCATCCGGCGTTTCTGTTCTCTCTTGTATCTTGGCTAGGCGCTCGAGTAGAGGTACTGCCTTTTGGTGCTGCTTGCACTCGATATAGGCGTTTGCAAGTGTAGCTTGCAGATCGAGATCATCAGCATGATCAGTCTCGACTAGCCGCTCCAGTAGCCCTACCGCTGTTTGGTGCTGTCCCTCTTCAAGAAAGCAGTTGGCAGTAAGGAGTTTTATCTGTAAGCTGGATTCTCCACTAGCGCCCGTCCAGGCCTCAAATGTCTCGAGTATTTTAAGAAGATCTCGAAGTCTTGAAGTATGAAGCAGATGTAGAACGAGCCAGCAGATTCGGAAATGAGTTTGACAAATCTCCAGTTCTGTCATTTCCGCTCGGTACTCAAGAATCGGGTAACCTAGGTAAGCTTCAACGTGCGATCGAAGCTTTTCATGGAACATATTGTAATTCGTTCCACGCATCGACAAAGCGATGACCGAGCCAGCTGCTGCCCAACTCTGCTCTCTAGATGTTAGTCCGGGGCGACTGCGAGCCCACGTGTGAGCAAGTGGATGCATCGAGAAGGAAAGATCTTCACCAGTCCCACTAAATTTAATGATTGAGTAGGATTCTAGGAGATTCAGGGTTTCGCGCCACTGCCATGGGATGGAATCTGTAGCAATGTGGTTCCTCGGCATGATGAATTCAGGTAGGCGAGAGATCTGTAACTCAGACAGTCGGTAAATCTCATCCTGTGGCATTCCTCTGCCTATCTTTTCACGTATAGCAATAGCCTGGTTCCGCGCTCTTAAAAACATCAGCTCAGGTATTTCCTGAAAGTGAAAGAAACCTAAGAGTTGAAGCAAGCTGAGCGCATTCGCAGCATTCTGGTCTTGAGATGATTCCAGATGGGTAGCCGAGATCTCAAACGTCGCGAATACACTTCTATCGGTCGGTTGTGCTGGTGTTGGACAATACTTCAGGACTTGCTCTTTCTGTTCTTTGAAAATTTTGGGATAGTCTCCAAGTGAACAAAGCCGAAGCTTGATGAATGCTCCTGCTTGAACGATAGCGAGAGTATGGTAACTCAGATCTTGAATAACTTTCTCTGCCGCCTTGTGATTGTCTCCACGCGATGATTCGGCTATCCCAGCGGCTTTAAAGAGAAGCGACGTAGCATCTTGAAGGTCCAGATGATCTAGATCCTCGCAACCGACGGTTTCATGGTCGCGATATTGCTGATTCCGAGTGGTCAGAAGAATGTTACCCTTCTCTCCGGATGGGAAAAACATAGCATAGTCGATATCAGGATTGTCGGCGTTGTCGATGATAAGGATCCAAGAATAACAGATGTTGGCAAGCCATGTTTTCACTTGCTCAAAAGACTCCGCTTTTCCACCACACAGTTTCCCGATATCGATGAAGGACTGCTTTGCTGTTTCTTCACTGCTAGCGTCGATCCAGAAAACGCCCCAGAAACTGTTTGAGCAGTGTTAGATGACGAAGAGAACTGCGTGTGCTCAATGTAGTGGTGTCTCACTGTTGACGATGGTCATTTGCGAACTTCAAGCACACCTCACTCTTTCCAATCCCGCCATAACCAACTATGACAAAAACCTTCTGCTCTTCGCTCGCCGACGAAGAAGGGGGCTGGGACGCCAGGCTATGGCCTAGCTTTTCGAGAATCCGGGTCCGGCCGGTGAAAAGCTTGTTGGCCCTTTTGGGAACCATCCAATGCACATTGCCTAACAGCCGTGGTCAGTATCTGCCAGAAGCTGAACCAACAGTATTACGTCTTAAACATCTAATGCCAAACAAAGAACATCGAGAAATTTCTACAGTCAAAACCGATACACGTGAAGCTGGGATGATGAGGTGCATGTTTGAAGAGAATCGGCCCCTCCCTAACGACAATTCTACAAATTCATTGACATTTTTTCAGGCCTCTTTTCGGTTCTAGAACTTTCCCCGGGCATTGACCCTGCTTGCATACAGCGATTATACACAATCAGAATTAAGCGGCGCCGCTCCACCCTTCGACCTGAAAGTTTGATTCTGCTGATGTGAGACAGTCCTACGCACCTGGCTCTAGATTTCCGCTAGATTGCGGGTCAGCAGCCTGCCCAGCGGTGGGAGCTATGTTTCCCAATTCTTTTACAACAGAAGGTTGGACGGTCAAGAGTAGTTCTCTTGCGAAAGCTGCTGCTGTCCCTGCCGCATAAGGTTGCCATGTTTGGTTCTTATGAGAGTCCGCATAGTCGGAAATACCCCGTATCACTAAACAGTGCGTCTGGTCCACCACTCCGGCAGCCTCCATTTCAAGGCAGCGGGCGTGAGGATATGCTTGGCTGAGCTCATCTCTGCGTTTAGCGTCCTTGATGACCGAGTTCCCCGACAGAATTTGACCTTGATGAAATACCGGAATCGGAGTCTCCTGCTCCAGTGACTCCTGCTTAAGTGGCTGACGCTCATTTCGGACTACTATTTGATCGATAGAGCATTGATCGCAGTTTGGGGCACCGTTGATGTGCTTGTAGGTTGACCGGTAGAACTTATCTCCTCCCGGTGGGGGACGGGCGAAATCTGACCTCAATCCTGTCAACTTTGCCAGTTGTAGGTGGGGATTACTGTCTCCCATTTCGTAGTTGGAGAACAACTTTCCCAAGGCGGTCAACAATTCTGGGTTCGGTTTATCAAATATTCCCAGCAGGTCTCTGCCCTCCTCTCCTTTATCTCTCATGAAGTCATACTGAACAACACCTGCAACGCCGGGAGTCTGATCCACCCCAACGACAACATCCCCCAGATGAATGTCTTGACTGGCATCCAGATGTGGAGGATCGTGCGGTATCCCCCCACCTATGCCCACAAACAAATGTAGTCTCATATTTGGAAAGCTTGTGGGCAGTAGGTCTGCCATTCTTGTGGCAGGGGTCGTGCCAGGGTGGCTGATGGGCAAGCATGCGATGACAATATTGTGACTACCGATGGAGCCATAGGTGTATGTGTTATGATCACCGACGGGCTTCGGAAGCTCTTGATGCTGTTCGTCTAACATCTTGATGGCTGCTACTTGCTCGGTCCGCGCTAACGCACAGAGCCACCCAACCGTGTAGTCTTCGGGCCTGAGTCGTCTTCTCGCACTCATGATTCTTTTTGACTGGCGGGAATTCAGCAGGAGATCTGATTTCGTCAATGGATGGAAGATGAAGAATGGCCCTGAGCAGTTCCCCAGGCTCAGCTCTGGACTGCGGCTGAAGGATCAGCGAGGTGGTGGACTGCATCTGAGAATGATTGGACGCCTCGTGGTGAAGATCTCAAACTAATGCACGGCTAGCTCTACCTTACGAGTGTGCCTTCATGCCTTCATAGCTGTACAGATAACAGTAACATGACGAAATGGTTCACAGCTAAAACCAATATCAGCTGATTTGATTTGGGCGAGAGTTCTTTTGACACCATTATTTCGCTCGGGACATCATTTTACCACTTCGACGATGTATCAACGGTACCAGTATCTGACTTAGTAAGCTGTAAGCCTACATTAAAAGGGGCTTATCACAATGTACCCCACCCCACCCCACCCCATCCAACCTACCTCCGCGCCCGCATAAGCAATGAGGGTTCTTGCGAGAAAGTCGCCCTCACTCCCAAAGTCCTAACCCCACGTCCAAGATTGTGTTGGCGTTACATACTGATGCTCAAATCTTCGCTCATCCGAGCATTCGTAGATTTGAGGTCGCCACACAACATTGTGGGGATCGAACAATGTACAAAGGTACTTCGTGTCCCCCGTCTCGATAAATCTGTGCTGCGATAGCGCTAAGCCCGACCGCCAGGTGCATACTTCTGTACGCATCTGAACAAGCAACCAATTAGCTCGTGCCAAGTGATTTCTATTACATCCTAGGTTGTAACAACAAGTTCATTGAATCATCCTGAGCAGGTAAAACGCTATTTGAGAGACGGCTACTCAGTGCTTTCATTCATCAACGCTACCTTCAAGAACTTCATATTAGCTAGCTAGTGGTTCGATGACTTTGACAACAGCTCATGAACCCGAATTGTTAGAGAAGAACACTGATAGCACAGCCGCATACGCCGCAGAAGCCACCATCGTTTCTTCGTTCGAGGCCCTGGTTAGAAGCGACACAAGCAGAGAAAACAAAACAATACAAACGGATATAGTGACCAGATGTGCTATAACGGTTGACTGATGCGAAAGAATTGCCAGCGGTGTCACAAGAAAAGCACCCGCTATCAGCGCAATCAAAAACCGGGTAATAATATCTGCGAGTCGGCTGGTATTCTGATAAGATCGTTTGAGGTTGGATTCCAGCTCGGTGGGCGAAAAGTAAGCGCTGCGCTTTTGGTAGGCGTGTTGTCCTCGAAAGCGAATAAAGAACCAGAAAGCCCGCAAGTATTTTCGCAAACTGCGCCGAAGAAGATCACCTGAGCGGCTTCGACTGACCGTGTCAACGCGTACGAGCCGCGTTTTGTACATCTCGTAGGGGTTTTGGTTGTCACTTCGAAGGCTAGCTTGCCAGCTGTTGTCCGCCAAAGCAAAGGTCTCCATCATCATGATCTGATTGAATGAGACTAATCCTTCATCTGAGATGGAACACTGAATTAGTCCAAGTAATCCTGGTCTCGTGATTGTTATAGAAACATACCGTACTCTTTCAGAAGCTGGCGTAGCTTCGACACAAGCTGAGGATTGAGGACTGCCTCCGGGCTTGGTGCATGTCTATCTCTCTTGCTGTGCTTCAACCCCAACTTATCTCCGCTTGTCGTTGGAAGACCCAGACTCAGTCCAGCTTGATAGACCTGGTGATCAAGTTTGTCGATCTCAGTCTCTAAGAGTCGTAGATTGAGTAGATGAGTCGTTCTGAACCTTCGGAAGCCATAAAGAGTAAGGGCATTGTCATCTGTAATATTGCTCCACAAACTACGAAAAAGACGAGCTGTCTCCGAACTCTCTATCCTTATATTGGAATCGTCCTGAACATTGGGGCCTGTGGATTTGGAGTATGAGTCATCTCCATCAGCGGCTTCTGCCATCATCACTTGTAGGAGTTCTCAGTAACGGTCCTTAGGTTAGGAACCTTTCTGAATCGAACCGGTCATCGGCTCTTTATGTATCATACATACTCCATAGAAGATACTGCCGGGCGTGAATCACAGCCTCACCGGAACGCCCATGTGATTTTCGACTTCAAATGCCTCGGTGCGTAGCCGTGCAGCTGCATGCACAGTGCATTGGATTCAACGCAAAGCGTCTGGTTAACCGGCAAGGAAGCCTTGAGTCCATTACTCAGGATTGTCCTTGAAGCTGATCTATTCGGATATGATTAATTGTATTTGCCCGCAGAGCGAGGTATCCCGTCCTTGGAGCCAGTAGAAGCTGTCGCACCGCCGACTTTTGTCTTCTTGGCGCTGACAGTGGTGCACTTCACTCAGCCCTACGAGGATCACGTCGCCTTCGACTGCCTGAGCTCTCCAAGGATTCAAGCTTCCTCAGACCGACCACCTCATAATCCTACACCCGGTGTTCCAAACTCACTGGAAGTTCATAACACGACCACTGATGCTTGGGGTCCTTCAGGATGTTCAGAAACAACTATGACAACGATTCGGTGACCTTGTATGCAGCTCCATGTCCTACCATTGATGAGCTCTAGCTTACGGTCACTGCAGCTCGCCGCAGGGCCGTATTTTCCAGGTCGAGTATGCATCAGAAGCTGTCAAGCAAGGCTCAGTGGTGGTTGGAATCGCCAGCAAGACACATACCGTGCTAGTAGCACTTAAGGTACACCCTTCCTCTTCCTCGGGTACCTCAAATCCTCTACACCAAATAGCTAACCCGCCCTCCTACCCCAGCGAAATGCAGAAGAACTCTCCTCCTACCAGAAAAAAGTAATAGGCATAGACTCGCACGTCGGTATCGCCCTCGCCGGCCTCGCCTCCGACGCCCGCGTCCTCTCCAACTTCATGAAACAGCAAGCGCTCGCATCTAAAATGACCTACGGCCGTCCCATACCCCTCGAACGCATGGTCACCCAGATCGGCGACCGCGCTCAAACATCTACACAAGTCTACGGCAAGCGGCCTTATGGCGTTGGTTTGCTGGTTGCTGGGGTCGACGAGACGGGACCGCATCTGTTCGAGTTCCAGCCCTCAGGGATGACGCAGGAGATGGTGGCTTGTGCGATTGGGGCGAGAAGTCAAATGGCCAGGACGTATCTGGAGAGGCATCTAGAGGAATTTGCGGACTCCAGCAGGGATGAGCTGATCAAACATGGGCTGAGGGCGCTGAAGGAGAGCTTGAGTCAAGACAAGGAGCTGACGATTGATAACGCCAGTGTGGGGGTCACGGGCATGGCGAGTGATGGGAAGAGGAAGACGGAGAGCTTCAAGTTGTATGATGGGTCTGAGGTGGGACCGTTGTTGGAGGCTGCTTTGGAGGGTGCAGAGCCGGCTGCTGAGACGAGGGTGGCCGAGGGTGGTGAAGGCGCAGATGCTGGTGATAGCATGGAGGTGGACACATAGAGAGGACTTCCGGCCGCTGGAAGCTGTAATTGTTCAAGCATATCTCTTCAAGCTTGGTGATTTTCATGCGTCTGTGGGTATATTCCAACGCCTCGCTATGCATGCTGGCATGATTTCGTGATGCGTGCCCACTTTGAGAATAACCCGGCCCAGCACCTCAACCCAACTCACTTCTGAGCCCAATCCAATTTGAATCTACCTTCCGCTACCTTATATTCCTTCAACTCCCTAACCACCTCCTCCGCATCCAGCGCCTCAACCAAAATTCCCGCATTACCCGGCGCGATGAACCCGGCGCTCACCGCCGTCCTCACCCATTGTATCAACCCATCATAATACCCCTCTACATTGTACACCACAATCCCCATCCCATGTATCCCAAGCTGATTCCATGTAATCACCTCCATCAACTCCTCCAATGTCCCGTAGCCCCCTGATAACGCAACAAACCCACTCCCAGGCCCTCCCTCCATGACTTTCTTCGCCATCAACTGCTTGCGTGTATGCATGTCCGCCACAACTGTCATGCGGCCGTACACGTTTTCGTCGATCGAGCAGCCGTTATGTGCGGATGCCGTACCCGGGCGGCCTTCTTGTTCAAATTGCACGAGAGCCGTGGGGATTATGCCGGAAACGGAGTCGGGGCCTGAGAGGGAGACGAGCGTGCGGGCGATTTCGCCCATCATGCCGACGGTACCGCCGCCGTAGACGAGGTGGATGTTGTGCTTGTGGAAGGTTTCGCCGAGGGATTTGGCGGAGGCGAGATGAGTGGGAGAGGTGCCGGAGGAGGAGCCGCAGCTGTTATTGTTTTAGTATGAGCCAGAGGCCGGATAGGAGGGAGGAGGCTCACAAGACGCAAATAACACGACGTTCGGTAGTGCTGGAGATGCTGCTGCTGGCGGGGCGTGAGACGGTGGAGCTTTGAAGAGCTGGTCTCGAGGGTTCCGATGCCATTATTGATTTTCAGAGGGGGGAACGTTGGAGCTTTTGGTCTTTTGAGCAGATGCCTGGGTATTTATCCCAGGAATGTCGGAACTGCAAGATAATGAAGGCCAGGCTCAGGGCCTTTTGGTGGTCAGTTCGTTGAAGGCAGCGTTAACGATAATGGAGGGACATTTTCGTCTTTCCCTAAGTGCAAATCGCAAGGTTACCAAGTGAATGGACGCCTGGGTGCTCCAATTGGCTTCAATGTGAGTTGATGCAGGCCCGACGGCCGAAAACCGGGGATACTCTGTCCTCGACATATGAGCTGGTCCTACATCCATCTCCGATGACGATCAGGGTCCAATACGGTGACAACGAAATCTGGCTGTCCTGTTGCCCATCACTTCAATAGTAATCGAAGGACCGTTTAAGATGCCTCCTCAAGCAGCGCAGCCTGCAGATGCAGGCGAAAGACAAGCAGGTCTAAGTGTGAGAATTGGTCGTTGAGACTTTTCGTGCCTCTCTCGCCATCGATGCTGACCAAGTACTAGGCCACCATGAAATCGGCACTTCAAGGTATAGCCATATTCATGCTCGTACAATTCGCCATATCCCAATTCTTCGGAAACAAAGGTGGAAACTCGAACACGTCCGCGCCGCTCGCAGGAGCCCCAGTCCCTGCCTTCGATGAAAGAGCGGAGAGCCCAGTAGCGACGTACAACCCCATACCCCAAGTGATCGCTCCGATATGGCCGTTAAACAGCACCCTGGACCTGTCAATATACGTGTCCTCATCGGTCGCCATGCCTTCGTTGGGCTCGGTGAAGACTGAGGGTTTGGTGTTGGAAGAGAAAGGATTCACAATTGGGAATTGGAAGGATAGTCGGGACATCGACACAATCTTCAAGGTCCCGAAGGAGGTGCAGAACAACGGTACCCTATGGGCGCATTTCTATATTGCGCTGCATGGGCACACATTCGACCCCACAGCTAGAGGCTACGACGTGGCTAAGGCTTACCACTTCGTTCGGCCTCTAAACCAATTCTTGCCGAAGAAGAAAGTGACGAAGACGAAGAGTCTCCTAGGCAGTTCGAACGAGAATGGAACCGGGGAAGAGGACATATCAAAGACTCCGGGCGTTGGATCCTACTATCATCCCAATTTCACCATGTCTTTCATCCCGGACTCTGGCTCCCAACCCTTCACGAGTATGCACCCAGCCGTCCGCCAATTTGTGCACCTTGAGACTACCGGAGCGCGCGATGTCTCGGGGCAGAATGGCTGGTACTACCCCGTACTCTTTGTGAATACCTTCTGGCAGCTCAAGGACCACATGACGGAGCTGAACAGCACAGTCAAAGAGCTCCCTCTTCATATCACATTGAACAACATGGCCAATTGGAAGTTCAGTATCTACGCCAGTATTGACGAGGGCATGAAGCAGACGCAAAGACAGGCTGCCAGCGGTGGTCCAATGCCGGCGGGCGGAGATGGCAGCGAATTCGAGATGTTCAAGCGCGTACTTGTCGACACGAACACCTACCTGCTAGTGACCACGGGGGTAGTCAGCGTTCTTCATATGATCTTTGAAGCACTGGCGTTCAAAAGCGATGTCTCTCACTGGCGCAACAAGAAGGACAACGTGGGCATCTCCGTCAGGACGATTCTTGCAAACGTCTTCATGCAGACTGTCATCTTTTTGTATCTCATGGACAACAGCGAAGGCACCTCCTGGATGATTCTTCTGGGGCAAGGAATGGGCATCCTGCTTGAGGCGTGGAAGATCACCAAAACTGTCGATGTCCGAGTGCGCGAGTCGGAGCCGGGATCGTTGTTGCCTTATAAAGTTACCTTTGAGGACAAGCATAAGCTTTCGCAAACAGAGGAGAAGACGAAAGAGTATGACGAGATCGCTTTCCGCTATCTCTACATGGTAGCAGTACCGCTGCTCGGAGCGTACGCAGTCTACAGTCTCATCTACGATACCCACAAGAGCTGGTACAGCTTTGTTATTACTACCCTTGTTGGCAGCGTCTACGCCTATGGCTTTCTGATGATGGTCCCGAGTCTGTACATCAACTATAGGCTCAAGGTAGGCTTACCCGTCCCCATCCTTACTCCATACTTACCATGGCACAGAGCGTCGCCCACATGCCTGCGAGGGCAATGACATACAAAGTCCTCAACACATTCATCGACGATCTATTCGCCTTCACGATCAAAATGCCTACGCTCCATCGACTGGCCACTCTGCGCGACGATGTCATCTTCTTCGTCTACCTGTACCAAAGCTACGCTTACAAAGTTGACAGCACGAGAGTCAACGAGTTCGGACAAGGAGGAGATGATGAGGAGGTGGAGGAGAAGATTGCCCACAAGCCATTAGCGGCGCCTCCGGACGCGGATGCGACGGTGGATACGAAGGTGGATACGAAGGTGGCAAGTAAGGCCACTGGGTCCCAGAAGGCAAGTGCGAAGAAGCGGAGATGATGCAAATAGTCACTATTGCTCTGTGCGTATGTAGAAAGACAAACCTCGAAGGATGCAGGTAGATATCGCTGTTGGGAGAACACATTTGACTGGTAATCCTATAATAATGCCAGCGAGGCTGACGATGATTCGCACACGTCCACTATGGATTTCTAATTCAAGACATGGGCCCAACGGGTATTCGAGACGATGAATCCCGAAAATGTGGAGTAACGAGATGTACTTTATATGTAACACTTCCGGATAGATGATGAAACAACGAACGAAAAGCTCCCGGCTCCAAAGGTACGACGGTTCCAAACCCTAAAGTAGTCTCTACTTTACTAGGTGATACAAATCCTAGCAAGAATTGCCGAAGGACTGCGGCAAAACGATTAGTGATCACTCTAGTCCTAATATAGCCAGAAGCGCGAGACTTGGCATTGTCGGAATCCTAGCAAGAATTGCCGAAGGGCTGCGGCAAAAAACGACTACTCTAGTCCTAACATAGCTAGAAGCGCGAGACTTGGCATTGTCGGAAGATCTCCAGGGGCCGGGCACCGAGGGCAGCAGCTTATTCGACCGAACTCTGTCACTCTTTTCGCATCGATGTTGTTAGAGATCTTTAATTCGTATTAGGTTCGATTCCTGATAGCGGGCTGATACAATGGTGTTGCGGTGCTTCTCATTTCCTATCGAACCATGCTGAGAGATGCCGCAATGATAACAGCTCCTTTCCCTTATACACACACACCCCCTCCATCAGCTCCATCAGCAGCCGTCAGCTGTGGCTTCGGCGTGGTGTCCAGAGCACTCGCATCCCTGCCTCGGTGGCCGATGCGAAAGACTATCATATACTCGTGCGACACTCTCGGCCGACTAGGGTCCGAGAACTGATTGGGCGGTTTGACCCATCTCCGCCGTACGCAATGTGAAAGAAGGGATGCTAGACTCCGTATTCTTTTCTGACACGAGAGTAATGTCGTGTTAGTTCGAGACCGTTAACTTTGGGGCTGCGGCAACCCTCAGAGTTGGAGATGTGAATGTTTGAAGGGCTGAACGGTGCCGAGGAGAGGGTGGGGAGGTCTTCGTTGTCTCTTAACATGTCTTTCTCTTGCTCTTGCTCTTTCTTTAAACATCTCTTTCATATACATAATTCGTCTCTCTTCCTTCCGGTCCTCAGAGCACGATGCGTGTTCCGAAGGATGTTGATGGTGCCCAAGATATGTACGAGTATGTCCCCAAGGACTTATATGCTTCCTTGCGCAACCCTGCACTCGCTCTTCCACGCAGGGTCTTGAGCTTTTTGACTATTGCGGTCCCCTTCAGCATCTTCTGGTTACTGCTGTCCTATGACCGCTTGCCATCTTTTCTTTCAAAGGGAAATGCAAGGACCACCACCACCACCCACTGGCACGGTTGGGCCAACGTGGAGAATATCATCGTCTTGTATGTCACCAATTGATGACCCGGGAAAAGATGAACGCAAACTGACCATCATCACCGCCAGCGGAGACTCCTACACCAGTACCGACTTCAAACCCCAAAAAGAACAACCCTCCCCCACCAACCCCTTCGGCAACCCCGCCCTACCAAAGTCCTCATCCATCGACCAGAAATGGATCCATTATCTCACAATGACCTACAACAGCAGTGCCATCCGGACCTACAACATGGCCAACTACGGCGCCACGATGGACGGCTTCGTCCGTTTCTACCATGAGCACTTCATGCCGCATTACGGCATCGCCAACCACACGGGCGCTGCGGGGTGGAACGCGACGAATAGTCTGTTCGCTACCTTTTTCGGCATCAACGATGTGAGAAGGTGCACGGATCAGCCCCTCTCGAAGGACGATTGCGGAGAAATCTATGCGAGTCTCTTCGCCATCTATGGCTTCCTGCTCGAGCAGGTGAACAGCCCTCATCCACGACCTCCAATCTCAGAATGGGAATCAAAGCTGACCCTTCCGCAACAGCTCTACACCGCCGGCGCCCGCAACTTCCTCCTCCTCAACATCCCCCCGCTCGACCGCATGCCCTTCTCCCGCAAATGGGGCCACCCCGTGCCCCCGCGCGCCGTCGCCGCCTGGAACGCCGGCCTCGCCTCCCTCGCGTCCGACCTCTCCCTCCGCCACGCCGACGCCACCGTCTTCCTCTTCGACACCCACGCCCTCTTCGACGAGGTCATCGACGACCCGAAATCCTATCCCCAAACGAGTGGGTATAAAAACACGACGGATAATTGCGAGGAGTATAAGTCGGCGGGTGACAAGAATGATTTCGATGACGTCTGTGGGATTCAGTTGGAAAGGTATCTCTGGCATGATGCGCTGCATCCGACCACGGCGGTCCACGAGGCGATGGCGGCGCAGATTGCGCAGATGTTGGAGGCAGGGCTGACGGGGAGGGGTGGGAAGGGTGGTTGAGAGAGAAGTAATCATTTCAAGGTGACGGAACGCCAAGTGGCTCGTGATCTGAAAAGATCATTGCCTGATCCCATCGGGGCTGGATACGATAACACCGCTCTCTGCTTTTTATGCGCCCTCATAGCTTCCTCGCAAGGTCCCCACGGCAAACCCGGGAACAACCATACCTCACGACTCCCGCACCCTGCCCGACACCCTACTCGAACACGCTTCGAACACGCACCTCACTCCCTGCCCGCCCATACAACAAGATATCATCATCATTGCTGTGGCCAATCTACAACCCACCTACCTCCCTTACCCATTCCCCAGCGTCCCTCAAACCGCAACTCGCGAGAGAAGAAAATCCCACGCTCGGAAATTGAGTCCGGAAACCGACAGTGCCCCGCAAAAGAGAGGGATCCTCGCCTCATCACGCGCCTATCCCTCACGGGTTCCTGCCCTGAATAAATGATCGAGCGCGTGCGGTCGGGTATGATTGCAGACTGATGCGCCGACTGAGAGTAGGCAGGGTCCGGGTGATAGAGGCGCTTGCATGCTTTTGCTGCGAGGGATGCGGTGGTGTTGGATAGATGTGTTGGAGATGGTGGTGGTGGTGGATTTAAGAGAGGAGTGGGGGGTTATAGACGATGTAGATTTTATGGCAGTGAGGCAGGGTGATGGTTATGCTTTGGTTTCGTATTCTCGTCAGATGTTGTGGGATGGAATAATAGGAAATTAAAGTACGCTTCTGGCGGAAAAGGAAAGCGCTGTCTAAATGTGGAATGGTGTGCCATGATGCGGATGAGGGTAAAAGCCCTTGGGGTTTAAGCGGATCGTGTACTCTGTAGGCATTAGATAGATACGTTTACAGGCAGTAAATTTTCACACTTGGTCACGGGCATGGATTCCTCCTGTGGCTATGTTCTATACACGCAGGATTCCGTCGTTGCTCTATTCCTAGCTTTGTGCTTTTCAAGAATACAAGTGCGCGACTGGCTTGCTCGGTGGCGGGCTGCATACTAGTTCTAAACGTTGAGTTAGCAAGTTGAGCGCTCGAGCGTGGACGGAGCAAAAGCGAAGTCACGTACGGATATAGTGTGAGAATTTAGAGACGGATGAGAAGAAAATGCTTACTCTGCGTCTGAGAGAGCGTCCAGTGGATCTTTCGGTGGCCATCGTCGTCTACAAGCATGCTTGCGCCCTGGCCTACTAACGGCCAATTGCTCCAAGCTGTCCGATAGTCGCGTGGGTCCAATGGGGAGTCACTGTGAGGTTTTTGGCACACTCGTGGAACAGCGGCCGCTCCTGAGGGCGCTGCAGCAGCAGCAAACTACTACGAATCCTGAATGACCTTTCCTGCGTGCTAGCAGCATATGCGATCTCGTCTTTTCGTGACGTTCAGCGTTTCTTCACCATCGGAGTATTCCAGCCATTGGCAAGATCGGAAGACCGGGCTTGGCTACTCGGCTTGTCAAAGGGGCTGGAAGAAGGGAGTCCGTTGTTGGCTTCAGATGCCTGGAGATGGCCGCTGTCGGGATCATGATCTACTACCATGGGGTCGGTACAGAACATGATCAGCAGTCGATCCACAACATCCCGCATTGTCTCTTGAGAAACGAGCTGTGCGTTGAGATGTTTTCGAAATGTGAACATGGCCGCCTTGAAAGTCTGGTGGTAGACGAGCTTGTACTCGTCCTCGGCCTCATTGGCTACTGAAGTCGTGTCGATGTGCGATGTCACTTGGATAGGTGGCTGTGGCTTGCTTGATGGCTTTTTCTTCTGCTGTAGTCCATGCAGGCGCATGCCAGCCATGATGACCTTCGTGAGTGCAGCCCTATTTTTTTGGGCACAGCTTCCATCTAACTCTGAGGGTGTTGGGCTGTCGCGAGGAGAAATCGCCCTCTCTACGTGGTGCAGCGATGAGCGCTTTCCATTGGCCAGTAGCCCCGAGCGGGATCCAGGCCGAGGGTGTTCTGAGACGGCGACAGATGACATGCTGGATGCTCGCGAGAGACTCTTCCTGGTCAAGTCGTTTTGCTGCGGCGGAGGAGCCTCTTGCTTCTCCGGCAGTCCATGCTGAGAAGGTGGGCGGTCAATGCTGGCCATGGCTTCAGAGATACTCTCTCCGCCGCGTCCTTTGAACTTTCTTCTCTTCTTCGTTGCATCCTCGAATAAGGTGGAGATGCTTTGACGCTTCTGAGGAACCGGCTGCGTGACTCGACCTGGATCATGCGTGTGCGGAAGAAAGCAAGCTTGCGGAACGCTCGGGAACTCATTTGGGGTTGATGGACAGGTTTCCAGTGAAAGTTTCGCGCGGCCGATGCTGTTCGAGCATAGCGGTAAAGCGTAGACCTTGACCGTCTTTCCAACCTGGTCCAAAGCGTCCGAAGTATCCTCATCCGGAGGCGCTGGGGAGGAAGACGTCGGCGGAGTTGGTAGCGATGTATAAGTCTTCGTGGACGCAGCATAGAGCAACACTTCTGTGATCACGTTCCGTATCTCACGGTCCTCCACCTTCTCAGTCTCAACTCTGAGGAGTATGCCATTTTCCGACTGCCTGCCCGAGTGCGACCACCACGGCTCCCGTGACGCGTCCCCACGGAGGTCAGACTCCTCATAATCAAGCAGTGCCTCCGTCAACCATCTTGTAGTAGCCTCATTTCCTGTAGAGACATTGCAGGATGGTCCCGCGGCGAGATATAAAGGGATCCGAGTGACCTCTACAAGGGACAGGAAATGCAGCTTTGCGTCCTGAGAAAGGGGGACTTGTGTCGAAGATTGGGGAGCCCAGATTTGGACATCTACATGATGGTCAGCGTGCGTGTAGCTGCATCAGGGGTCGGGCATTACCTTGGATGCAGGTAGCCAGATCATCCGTGCTGATATTGCCGCTCCATACTTGGGACATTGTTGCTGCATTGTCTCAACTCTCAAGGTCGAGTCGCTATCTGGGCGGCAATTGCTTGGACGTTGTGGACGTGGTTAATGCAGACCTATCGGCGCGTGATACGGTCGAGGGTTGCATCATTCGCCGAGCGGATAATGAATTGGTCGTGGTGATATTAGCAGGGATGGTGGAGGACGCGTGAGGCAAAAGTGGCACTTCCGAATTCTACGAGACTTTCCGAGCCTTGTCCGAGCTTTCTCGAAGCGCCATAGTTGTGTCAAGCTTTGATGGGAACAGGCTGCTGCTGCTTTTTATCACCACCACTTCCTGCTTCAGTATCTACGACTATCTGAATCTTCAACGATAGGAGCAAGCCAGATTTACCCGCGAACCTTAAGACGAATCGCTGCATTTCCTTGCAGAATGTTGAGGAGCATCGGTATTACGAAAGGAACAAGCGTTTGTCCACACCATTCTCAACGTCTTTCAAAAAACTTGGTGAACACAGCTGTTTAATTTTACCATGGCCCACATCCCACAGTCTCATATATGACGTTCGGTTGTACTATCGATGTGACGCCCGCTCTCTATTCATACATGCCAAACCAGGCTCTAGAAATCCTGCTCCTCCTGGAAGAACATTGTGAAGCTTATGATGGTTCCGTAGATCAGCAGTCCTCCAATTATCGACATGGCCATAGCCGGAACAGCGATCAGACCGCAGTGGGCCAGGAATGCCGGAAGAGCTGTAGACAGACACCCATCAGCACAAACCCTTCGTCACACACACTCCCACAGCCCAACACTTAGCCAACTCAGTGGAAGGACAGCACACATACCAACACCCATCACAACCAAAAACCCCGTACAAAATCTTCCAAAATCCACCACTGCGCTCCCAGCACTTTCCATGAAATCATCGGGATTCGCACATCTTCCGCATATCCAGTTCGGCAAGGGTGCAATTATGTAGGTAGCTACGACGAGCAGGGTCAGGTAGCTGTGAAAGAGAGCGGAGGAGAGGATGACGAGGAGGAAGCCTATCGCGAGGACCTAGTAGGTTTCCGTGATTAGTTGGGGTAAAGTGGTCGGATGATGGGGGTGGAAGAGAGGGGAGTAGGGAGGAGCATACGAAGGACAATGCGATGATAGTCTTGAGGCCCGCTGCCATCCTGTCGGTCTGTCGCGTGCACGGACTGGGGCCTGGATTATGCTGAGTGGGGAGGCATGCGCTGATTGCCGATGGACTTGAAGAGATGCGTTTTTAGAGACTGATAGATGAGGATGGCTTTGCTTTTGTCGACACACTGTAGATGCAATTAAAGGCGATATCACTCGTCGAGGAAAGCAATAAGACAGTAGTGTTGGCCGCTGTGAAGAAGCAGGGCTGGGTCTTTGCGGCATTTGGGCGCCAAGCTCGCAGGGATCTGTCAGCCCTATGGCTCTTGGCATCGATATTGTCTCTTTAGCACTTTGCAGATATCAAGAGCATATTCGCCTTTCGTATCTTTTACATAATGATTCAGTTCTTCTAGACTTCTATGAGGTCCTGCATATACCTAAAGATACCTTCAAGAATCTCAACAACTCAACATGGGTATCTTCAACTCGGAAATCAGCAAATCACTACAGTCCCCTCGCCTCATCATGTTAATCATACATTGTCGGCTGCAGTGGTCTTGGCCATGACGCGGCATAGTACCGACTGTTTAGCATGTAAGACGCTGAGAGGGTGGAGTGCTAGACCCGCAGTATGACTTGTGCTTCCATTTGCCTGTGTTGGGGTCGTCACGGTCATCGGTCTCCTTGTCCTTTTCCTCCTTGGCCTTCTGGTCAGCTTCTTCTTCCGCTTTTCGGTTTTCCTCTTCTTCGGCCTTCCGATTAGCTTCCTCTTTCGCTCTTCGGTCGGATTCCTCTTTGGCCTTCCGGTCGGATTCCTCTTTGGCTTTCCGGTCAGCCTCCTCTTTGGCTTTCCGGTCAGCCTCCTCTTTGGCTTTCCGGTCAGCCTCCTCTTTGGCTTTCCGGTCAGCCTCCTCTTTGGCTTTCCTATCTGCCTCTGCTTCCTCCTTGGCCTTTCTGTCTGCCTCTTCTTTGGCCTTCTGGTCAGCTTCCTCCTTGGCCTTTCTGTCTGCCTCTTCTTTGGCCTTACGGTCAGCTTCATCTTTGGCCTCTTTCTCAGCCTCCTTCCGGTCTTCCTTCGTTTTCCGTACCTTCTCTAAACCATCTTCCATCTTCTTGATCCTGGCCATGTGTTTTTGATGCTTGTACTCTTCTTGCTCCTGCTTGATGCGCTCTTGCTCGGCTCTATCGACCTTGATTTTCTTTTCGTATCGATACAAGAGCTTCTTGATCTCGTCTAGCTTGGCCTGCTGTGCCTGCCACGTACCGTCCTTCGGGAATCCGAATGTTTCCAAATCTTTAACAGTAAGGCCCTTGTAACTGACAACATTGCCCGCAGAGTCCAACTTGAGATCCATTGGAAGCTTGAGGGGCTTGTTGTCCGGACCTACCGCCGCCGGTCTCCCATTATCATATACAAGAGTGCGACTCCAGACGTTCTCGCCGTATTTGCTCGCATAGAAGATTTTGGCGTCAAAGGATAATAAACTGTATCCTTGGGGAACAATGCGGACGGGGTAGTCCAGAACAACACCCATGACGGGAACCTTCACGGGTCTCCCCATTGGCGGTAGCGTGTCAGCAAACTGGACCGATTCTGGGTCGTCGTATTTTGGAGGCTTTATTTCAAAAGGTCCAAACTTTGGCGGTCCAATAGTAGGTGGATCACCAGTGGAAGGCGGGTCTTCAATGGCTGTGTCTTCCCCAGGAAGAGGGCCTGGTGGGGGAGGTGGAGCAGTCTGACAGGTTAGCAATTCATCTGCTTACACAGAATGTCGAACTCACAACAGCATCCTCGATCTGCGCAACCTGCACGTTCGTCAAAATCCCGGGATTCACAGCCTCTTCCTGCAAAATGCTGTTTTCGATGTCAGCAGCGCGGTCAAGATCTGCTCCTATATCTCCCGGCCACACGGTATCTTCGGACAGCCGTGACACGCTGCTCACTCTCGTAAGTGTCTGTACTACGGCGGATTGCTCCTCGACGACTTCGACCCCAGCTTTACCTTCCGACACGGCTTTTTTCTTAAGAAAATTCCAGATCGCCCATGGAACTGTGATAGAGAGCCCTGTGCCTCCAACAATTGAAGGGGCGAGGATCTCGGCGAGTTTGGCGACATGCCTGGCATGCTGGGCAGGATCGGCGGGTGGCAAAGCTGTAGGTATCGCTGCGGACGTGGATCCTGTGCTTTGGGTAGAGGAAGGTCTCACTACCGCAGCGAGTGGAAGAACTAAAATAGTGTCATTGCCAGCAGAAACGGTCTGAGTGGTGGTCGGGTTGTTGGTAGTAGATGAAGTTACTTTCACGGGTTGGGTTCGAGTGGTGACTGGTTCTGAACTGAATCTGGAAAACTTTGAGGACGATCTCAAGGATCTATTCAACGATTTGACACTCGTCATCTTGGTCCTGTGGGAGCTCGATGAACGGCTTCTACTGAGTGTTGTACCAGAGGGCGGAATGGAGGTAGCATCATTGGTCTGGTTTTGGCTGGTTGCTGTTTGGATTGACAGCGCTGCGGATGACGAAATAGAAGACTTTTCGGTTCTCTTTGGGGTGCTGCTGGCATGGATCCGAAGCGGGATAGATTTTGTCGTTGAAGCTGCGCCAGATGTCGAGATGACAGTCGAAGTCATAAACGACGAAGAAGCACATGATGTGCAAACGGATCTGACTACTGTCGCGTTTCCTTTCCGAGATTCAGACGACAGGACTTTCCCGACCGTGGTCGTAGGTCGGCTAGAGGTAGAAGTCAAGACTTGAGTCGCCCAGGAGAAAGCAGACAATGTACCGTTGAGGAGGCCAGTCGTAGGATATGTCATCACAGATCCAGAAGATAAAGCCATCGTGGCTGAAGTCGGGTTGTGCTCGAACGTGAGTTCCAACCTGGAGGGTATAGATGAGAGACCCGACAGATACCTTCTTAGACTGGCAGTGCTTGAACTGGCTGATTGATACTCAGACGAAGTTGCTATACTGACGACCGTCTTCAGCGTGTGAAAGATGGTAGTATACGCAGTTGAAAGTACAATAACAGGGCTCGTCGCGTTGAGCGACTGCGATACCAAAGTCTGTACAATCGCGCTTCTTGTTGTGTTAGCTGGGAATTGTACTATGGTCTTGGTGACGTGGGTGACAGTTTCATGACCGGTTTTGTTCACCTTGGCCCGTGAGCTTGCAAGGCTTATGGGTTCCAAAGAGAGCGTCGCGGCCGTGTAGTTCGCCAGCCTAAGTGTGGCATTGGCAGAGTCAACAAGATGGGCTCTGGTGTTTACAGTGACAACATTATTTCCGGAGACCGACGAAGCCTTCAATGAATGCGCATGGGTGAGAGAAGAGACAGAAAAACTCGATCCACGAGTTTGGTAGACTCTGCTGACGGTGATGTTGGAACCTGGATTCGGGACTGCAAAAGCCACAGCGCTGTTCAAGAAGCTCAGTAGAAGGCAGCAGCTGAGCACAGCGAGACACATGGGCGAGCCAGAGACGGAGATCATGATCACAGCTACTTGTTGTGAGAACGGGCAGAGACTTCTGGGTTATCGAGACCAGGACGTATTGGTTACAAAGAAGTACTGGTTGGAGATTATTTGATTTGGAGAATGGACTAAAGGGAAAGAGAATAAATATACCAATACTGATGAAAAGTGGAAATGCGATTATACAAGAAATGCATTATTTAGAAAGGTTGCTCATATTCGACATTTTTGCCCCAATATTGTATTCTCAGATGAGCTTAGTATCTCTCTTGGCCAACCCAACAGAGCGGATGCAATAAGATCAATCAATACCACCAAAGGGTATGATGATGGGTATATTTGTATAGGCCCACGACGGACAAAAATTCACCAGAACCTGACATGGCCGTTAGATCTGCGCCAATTTCTAAAGCGCATTGACTACTTCGGGGCATTGAAGGCTTTACCATGCGCAAGAATCGTATCGGTTCGGCTTGGCCATCCTCAGCTGGCAAAGACAGCGAAAGCTTTTCAAGAAATCGAGACTTGCTGGCCCTCGGTCCAGCGTTCTGTGGAAACCCCTGACAACTCCAAGTCATTTGGTGGACAGCCTGGTTTTGATTTCTGTTATTTTTGTCTAGCGGTACCTTCTCGGTGAGCGCAACATCTCCTACTCGGACCCGTCGCAGCTTCTGCGTTCTCTGCTTTGGTGCATGGCGGGTACGGACGTCAGAGTTGTAAGGCTCTTGTTTTTTCAGGAACCTGGGCGGCAGTTCGAGGGGTGATATTTCGGGTTGGTGTGGAGGAAGATACTGCATCATCAGTCTATACGCAGTAGCTTTTGAAGCAAGTAGAAGATTTCCAAACAAAGATCTATAGCGTCTGTGGTACTTAAAATGAGAGCCCCACACGCCAGCGTTCGTGCCCAATATCGACCTCGCCATTTCTTCGTACCGGGTTACTCATGGGCAAGTCTTCTCAGAATCCCTCCAAATCCACGACCACGCAACGCTGCAATACATACCCTCACAAATTCGGAGTTTTGAGGCACATCCTTCAAAGCTGTTCCTCGATGAGTGCAAGCTTACAAAAATTTGGTCTCTAAAACCAGGCTCAAGGCTCGGTGATCCTCCTTCGCTGGAGATAAAGCAATCGTACCAACAGCCTACGTCCTAAATGGAGGAACGTCGAGAATGATAGCGCCGCTCATGTCAATGCGATTGCCCCGTCCACTTCTTGCCCCCAATACCAAGCCTCAATTCCTCCTCTCTGCTCAACTGCACAGCTCCCAAAACATCGTCGCTGGGAGCTTCACTTTTGATCCATGGGTACACGAGTTTGTACGTGGTCTCTACGAGAGGGGTTTGGTGTGCTGTACTTGGAACATGAGATGACTGGTCGGAAGAAGTCATTGACGAGCCTATGTCGATCTGTTGAGAGCAAAGTTCTGTTTGGAAAGTGGAAGAGGGGAGCGGAAGCTGAATCATATCAGGAAATGACAACCGCCATTCTGATTGCCAGGCAAGCAAACTCTGAGAGGTATCACGATCACGAGCTTCTGCTAGCACAAGACCCTGTGACCGTCTCTGCAAGTCAAACACAGTATGTGCGGGCTGTTGCGACGGACGCAATCGCTGACCGTCTATTACAACGTACTTATCACGCATTCTGGCAGTGGAGGTCAGAAGAAAAGGGCACCTATAGTTGCCCTCTGCTTCCATGTCGGGGGAATGCGGCTCTGCCAAACCTGGAAGATGAATTTGACACAACAGCAAGTCTGTAGGTAAACAGGACAGAGTAAAAAGCCGTAAGTGTGGGCGTGCGGATGGTCAACAAAAATTTTGGCAGGGGCCGCTGTGCCCCTTCTATTCAGACACTTCTCGTCTACCAACCCCCCAAAAAGCTGGTAGGGACTGAGCTCAGTCACAGGATGTGAGTGGCTAGCATCGTATGTGATGAAGCTCGAAATTGCTGCCCTTGAATACCTTCCTCATTACTAGGACTTTGTGGACTGGAAGCAATCCACGTAGATAGTTTGTTGGGACGACTGCTACGCCCAGATCAACCGAGCAGGGATGGTGCCAATACTCGTGGAGAAGCTAGAAACCCAACTATGAAGGCGATCATCTAATCCTGACCCGCACGAGAGTTTTGAAGAGTGGGAGCATAGTCTTGAAGTACGTCGCTGGGATTACCGAGAGGCCCAGGATGATACAGCGGGCATGGTTTCCGAATGTCCTTTGTGCAGAAGTTCCTTCGCAACACCGTCCAACGTCCAGCAAAGGGAATCTCTTCTGTGTCCTTGATCAGTATAAGACGGGATCGTTGGCGCGAGCTATTACTGACCTTGCACAGTCACATACCTTTGTTTTATGCACTCCCAAAACGAAAATGTTTACTACTAAGCTTTGCCAATGCCGTCTCATATATTTGAGTTCAATTCTGTGCCACATCCGACCCCGTCATGTCGGTATGTTCCTGATAAACAACCTCAACTGCATTTCCTTTTGACTCTTCACTGCACCGTCCTGATAGAATTAACTAAAGCAACCCTCTCATACTTCATGCCCGTATACCAATTCCGGATCGTCATCCGCAACCTCGAAAGTCGTCATCGGCTCTCAAAATTTGCCGAATAAATTTACTCTGGAATCCTATAACATAAATAGCATTTCACAGGAAAGCAGGCAATACCATCAGTGGTAGTGACAGTTTCTAGACCTCTGTATACCATTTTGATCTAACAACCCTCATCGTCTCCCAATACTCGCTGTTTTCTCCTCTAAAAAGTCGAACGGAAGACAATCCCGGATGTCGAGAAACCCACTGTCCTCGCAAGTAGTTTTCCTCCTTTGAACAGAAAAATCCATCCATTCCCATATCAAAATCGTCAGCCACAAAAGTGACCGCATCATCCCAGGTTCGAATGCTAATTCTCAGCACCCACACCCCCACCCTCCACCCCAGTAACCACAGCCTTCAACAACCCCTTCGCCCCCAACGACATCCTCCCCCCAATAGCCGGCGACCTCGTCTGCCCCAAACACTGCTTCATCAAGCCGTCCGGCCCGAGCAGCTCCGCATATATCTCCGCCAGTGTCAACGTGTCCTCGTCGTCTTCATTGATCACATTCAAATAGATCAAACAGCTCCCACTCGCCTTCTTGAAAGGGAGCAGCACGTCATCGAGGGTGGAGCCCGCGGTGGGATTTCGACTGAAGGTGCGAGGCTGGATCAGAGATTGGCCGCGGACCCAATCGTCGAGTGCGGCTTCGCAGTCAGATTTTTTGGTTGCGACGAAGGGGGGGACTCTGGTCGGTTTGAAGCAGCCGATTTTGGCGCCGAGGTTGGTGTTGTTGGTGGTGGGAGATAGAGGGGCGAGGGTGAGGGGGGCCAGGTCGAGTAATTGTGTGGGGGCGAGTGCGAGAGGAGTAGCGAGGAGGAATGGTAGCAGGAGAGAAGCGGCCAAGAGAAGTGGGCACATGGTTCTGGAGTTCGGATGGGAGGTGCAGAAGCGGAAGATAGGTATCGAACAGGTATCGGAAAAAGGATGAATCCCAATTCCCACGTTTTGTTTGCGCCTAGTGTCGCCAATTTTGTAACACCCCTAAAGAACGCATCAACGCATCGCTTACGGCTCCGCCGCGCTTGGACCATTGCTTACATACATGCGATGCAGCGAGTAATGTGTCTCGCGTCTGTACAAGATGAATGGGAAAATGCTAATAATATTTTGCCAACGTATTGGGAGGAGCGGTGGTATCTTGGAAAGCTTAGGCGGGGCGGTTGCGTGGGATAACAGCGCAGTGCTGGAGCCTGACGCGAGGAGCATTTGGGTGCCGGAGCTTTGGGGGGCTAGGACTGTGATGAAGGTGCCAGATCCCATGGTAGTGGTAGAGCCAGGAGGGAGGGACTGCCCGCCGGCGAGAATATATCGGTTTTGGACATCAGCTGTGATGGTCTGAGAGCCGATTACAAGAGCTGGTAGTTCGATAGATTTGGTACTTTGGAAGGAAGTACTTGGACCGCTTATGAGCGTTGTCTTGCCGCTGGAGGCCTGGTGTTCTGACACTGGACTGGGAATTCCCAGGCTGCGGGTAACGGCATCGCCGTGAGAGAGGGTTTGGCGGAAGGGTAGGATGTACTGGGACTTGGATTTGAGAGACCCCACGCTTGGAGACAATGCAACACCACCGCTGTTGCTTGCGGCGGTGCCTTTGGCTTTGGTCAACGGCGATGTCGCGGCGATCTGGGTGCTTTGAGCGGCGGCAGGGATGAGGACCCGGGCGGATACTGCATAAACTAGATCTTGAGGGGTGTTTGGCATGTCAACACGAGCTCTGAGAGCGGATCGACTTAGTGGTTGTAGTTCCACACTTCGTGTTGACTTTGCAGGGGGCATCTGTCTTGCGGGTTTCTCTCGAATGGTTGTTGAGCTGATCACCCCTAGGCTTTTCCCCACAGCGCTGAAAGTGCTGCAAAAGAAGATTGTACTAGTCTTCGCATTCAGAGTGGTCGTAGATTGCTGGACAGCGGTATCAGACGATCGTTGAGGTTGCAGAGCGCCTCAGGCCTGGCTGGCTGGGACGCTTTCGGAAGCGTTCGGCAGTGAGGCGACTTTAAGTCCAAAGTTCGGGCTCTGCTGGGGGGTTTTGAGGCCTTTCCGCGGAGAGGAGGAGAAGCCTCAGCGTATTGAAGATGAATAGATGGCAGCGACGGCAGTATCGATCGAAGGGACTCGAAAAACATCGGCTCGGTGGCACGTGACAGAAACTAGATGATGATAAATGATAAATGCGGACGGAAAAGTCCCAACGGTGCAGATGTGAACGACAAAAATCGCAACGTTACGTGGAAGGGCCCATGAAGCAATTAACCTCATGGACAATCACGCAATAGGCTACGAACGGGTGTATGTATCTGCATAAATTGTACCAGAAGTGCCCAACAAAATGCGTAGCAAGAGGGACAACTCTGTCTGCCCAAGCAGCCATATGTAAATATACTTCTCTTCTTACATTGACTCGCCATTGACCTCCCTTCTTCTGGTATGTCTGGGTGTACGCCAGCGGTGAGACGCGCACTCGGCGCGGGCTTGCCTCCAGAATCAGTTTGATGCCCCACGTAAGGCGTCACGGATGGGGGCTATTTGATATAAATGTCCTTATAAATTCGCCTATAGCACTATAGCTATTTGTCGCGTAGGAGAGGTAGCGAGCTTCAAATCCGGATTGCTTGGATTTGAGATAAAGGATATATAAGACTATGGTCATGTAGCGTAGGAGTCTCATAGCGCTTTGATGGATGTTTTACTAATCCATAGAGCTGCTCACCTGCGTCTGGAGGCGATCGGATGCCATTATTATCATCGTTACCGTCGACGGTCTCGAGGATGATGGTCCAGCCTGGGGGAAAGATGGAGTGATGGATGTTCAGGTCATTGGCTTTGAAGGAGAGGCCAGCAGAGACGGACGAGACAGTGATGATTTGCCCATGGGGTAGGTGGACCATACGCGGGGCCATGGACAATCATTTAGCGTTAGATTCGACAGACGCTGTTTCTCTGCGGGCATTTGGATGACGAGTGATGACGAGCACTTCGATTACGAATCGCTTTGCAGATGCGGGAAATGTATGTGTGCTACTCAATAACATCAAGAACAAACCACCTACGATATAATTGATCGTGTGTTTGCCATCAGACATTAATACATGGGTTCGTGGAGGTAGATGAGAATGAGAATGAGAACGAGAATGAGAACGAGATTTTCTAGTCCTGAGCATAAAATTCCTCTATAATTATTATGATTAACATCCTCAGGACCTCAAGTACATTCAGTAAGCTGGGAAATGTTTACGAAGCCTTGAAGCCAGCAAACAGCATTGCAGTAACCTACATGCTTTCCTCCACCACGGGAAACGTACCATCGTTGAGTCTCGCATCTCCGTTCCGAGTATGTGCTGGTCAGGTCTGCTTTTACATAGGAGCTCGATAGCTCATACCCATTGTGAAGGTAATTAGGGAGGATTGCTATGACGGCAGGAAGGACGAGAAGCACGGTCGGATACTCACGTCCAGTATATTTGATTTCCCGCTGATGAAGGTTTATGTAGTTACGGAACGATACTGATCTAGAGTCAAGTCACACTTAAGGATGCCGTGACCGATGGGATGGAAAGGAGTAATCAGAGCGTCTTTTCAATATGTTGAGAATAAAAAACTTTAAAACAGTGGGAAACAAAAATATTAGATATTAACCCAGCCCCAAACAAGAAACAATACTAGTACAAGTAAGGACACAATCACCCCCAAACCCCACAAAACGCCCACCAAAGGATAAAAGATGAACACACCACAGGTTCTAAACCTCACAACCAAAAAACCAAAGCCCACCAGATAACTCCACCCTAGAAGGTAGGCCACAAAACAACAAACCCATAAATTATTACACCGGCCCCCAAACCCCCTAACCCTCCGGACCCCAGGGCCCTACCGAAGGAGCTCTCCACCAAAATAATTTAATATATCTTACAATACTTTATCAAATCTTCTCTATATTATTTAAAGCGATATAACCAAATCAAAATACTATCATCATTAACGTAACTAAAGAATAAAAAATAAATTAATAAATTTGTTCGATTCAGCCTAGTGTCCTCTTTGACGTACCGTATATACCCATTTTACTTAAAATAAAAAAAAAGTTTACTTCAAAAACATATCAAACCATTGTCAACTTAAATTAGTTGTCAACATTTTAATTCAGTCTAGTAATAAAACAACTACCTAGAGTTAGTCGGGACACTTCTGGGTGTAAATATAATGACCACCTGTGGCCATATCACATCTCCCAGATCCCTCCGCGAATCCTTTCCAGTCACCAGAACCTCGCAACGTGGTCGCTCTCACATTCAATACATTGGCAAGGCCCTTCCCCAGCGCTTTAGGCCAAGCTGCTACATCATCACGCACAATTGAGTCATTTCTTCATCTTCATTCCTCTACGAAACCACCTTCTGACAAGAAGTCAGTTGTAGAGTACGCATGAGGAAGAGTTGATACATGCACTCCCCAGTGCGCAAACATGTCCGATCGAGCCCTCCAGCACCGCCGCGTGCACAACCTGCTCCTGATCCAGAAGCTGCTCTCGTCCAGAGACGCATCGTCCCCGTTTACGCTGGTGTTGGATTCGGTAGAGCAGTCTGCGGGGCCGCTGGTGCGGCATTATATCCATCATGCAAAAGTATGCTTGATGTCTTCTATTATCTATCTGTTTGTCTACTTTTGTTCGTTTTTGTTCGTGCGGGCTTTGGCTGAGGGGGGTGGTTTAGGCGTCGAAGATGGATGTGGTTTTTGTTTCGTATGAGAGCTTGAAGCCACCGGCGGATGTTACTGCTTTGATCAAAGCGCGGGGGAAAGATCCTTCTGCGGTGAGAAAGGAGATTGAAAGGTGTGTTTCGAGCTCGAGACGTGAGTAATTGTTTCCCGGATTTTTCATGTATTTCCTTTACATTAGAATATTAAACCCTAGCCGCAGGCACACTCCTGATCCTCGACTCCCTCTACCCCCTCACCACGCACCCTTCCCTCCCCCTCTCATCCTTCCTCTCCTCACTCCCTTCCCCCACCACTTCCCTCCTAGCGATCTACCACACCGACGTCCCCTTACCCTCCCCCTCCCTTTCATCTTCAACCCTCACCAACACCACCACCACCGGTAGCATATACACCCCCTCCCCCTTGACCCTCCTCCGCTACCTCGCAACCACAGTCCTCACCACCCACAGCTTCTCGCAGATGCTCGCCCGCAAACGCGCCAAGGAGAAAAGCAGGCCGGATCCGCTGTTCGGAACCGACGAGGGCAAGGAGGGCGTGCTGGTGGGCGTGGGCGCGAATGACAAACGGGGTTGCGTCGTCGAGATGGAACATAGACGGAAATCGGGCAGGGGGGTCGAGGAGTGGTTTTTCCTGCCGGAGGTGAATGGGAGCGGGGCCGTTGTGCTGCTGGAGGACCAGGAGCTCTATCGGCGGTCCGATGACCGTGAGGGGAGGTCGGACGGGGTGGAGGCTCGGGTGGAGCTGGCGACGTTTGAATTGGGCTTGACGGCGAAGCAGCGGAGGGATCGAGAGGGTGTGGTGTTGCCGTATTTCGATGCGCAGAAGGAGGAGGGGGGGGGCGGGGGGAGGATCTTGTATGATATGGGCGTTGAGGATGATTTCGATGAGGAGGAGGATGAAATTTGAAATAGGTGTAGGCGCTATCAGTGTAAAATGATGCTCCGAGGTAGAGGCTGAGCTGAAGGCAAGATGGTCGATGCTCCATTCTTGAATGCTTCGTGTTTGGCAGCTATCTTCTTGAATAGCTGCTAAGAGTGAATAGCATGCGCCAAGATCTGCTACACACGGCCGTTCATCTTGTCTCCAAATGCTACATTCTCCCCGTCCCAGTAGTCGCTTGTTCTACATGAACCCCGGGGCATGAGACGCGTCTTCCGTGCTCCGCTACCGACTCGGGCTCAGCGGCCTATTGAACCCTCCAACACGGTTCATATACTGCCTGTACTCCGTCTTCTTCTCCTTCCTCACCCCATACACGTTGTTGCCCTTCACCTTCGTGTTTTTCGTTGACTTGAAGCCCGTGAACCCCATCGCTTTACGCATCTCTGCTATCTCGGGGTCGGAATCTGCATCCACTTGCATGTCATCTGTCTCCTGGTTCTTAGGAGGCTCGGTTGAGGAGCTGGTGCCGTTCATCTTGGTGGCGGGTTTGGGAGAAGAGTCTGCGGCGGGGAGAGGAGGTTTGGACGGTGGAGGTCTGGTCGAGGCGCGAGGACCGGTGGGTGGGGCGCGGTCGTTGGCAGGTTTCGAAGGTGGGCTTCGAGACCGAGGTGGTTTGGAAGGTCGAGGTGGTGTGCGTGTTCGGGCGCGGGTGGAGGTGTGGTCTTTTCGCGGAGAGCGTGAGCGGCGTGATGCGGGTTCGTCTGCACCACTGGTCAGCCTTCCCTGTACGTATTGGTATTAAATCCAGTGCACCAACCTCGCCGCGACCTGTGCTTCTCCCGGCTCCTGCTCCGTTCCCTATCCCTCCTATCTCTCGCTCCGTCTCGATCCTCATCTTTATGTCTTCGCCCTCCTCTTTCTCTTGAGTAGCTCCGCTCCCTGCGGGGCTTTTCTGGCCGGTCTCTGGATCGACTTCTATCTCGCCGCCTCTCTTTAGACCTAGATTTGTATCTTCGATCGTCGCGTCCATGATGCCGGTCTCTATCATCTCGTTTTTCTCGGACACCGCTGGTGCCGTTTGTAGCTCGCGGGTGGTTGCTGGCGTCTGTTGGGCGGGGGCTGCTGCGCTCCCACATGGCGGAGCTATCAGTGCGCTTTGCGCGTTTGGCTGGTGGTTCTGCCATCCTAATCAAAGGTGGAGGCTGATGGAGGTTGGATTGAGCGAAGTGCTGAGTTCGAGGTTTTGCGCATCAGGCAGCGGGACGGCGGAACCTTTTGCCGATATCTCTTGGCACTCTCATCTGCCAGTAAGCGAGAGTAGAAGGTTACGCAGGGAAAGATGGTACGCTCTGGGATTCTACTATTGACTGGAATTTTTTCGTGAAATCGGGTTTCTCTGTATCTTTGATTACTCTATGTATTATAAGCTTTTTGTATACTGCTACATGCTTTGTTCTCTCGCAATTTGAGTGCCGTCTCAACGACAGAGCGTGCATTAATTACGTTCTAGAATGGCCCATCACCATACGGGCAAGCATAACCCTGTCCACCACTTCCGCTCCGGATGTAGCAGACCTTTTGCTTTGCGCAGGCTGCGGTTGAGCAATTTTTGGTGACGACACTACTCTTGGTCTCCAAAAGGTTGTACCTCTCAACAAGAGATTGGTTGGTTAGCATAGAGTATGTGACATCGGTCCAGAAAGTGGCGTTGAGAGGAGACGTAGCAGGCCATGTGCCGTTGACATTATATGTAGAGCGAGAATCGTATTCGAATTGCCAGACTGGGCTAGTCCAGGTGAGAGATTCGGAGACGTTGGCGAAGTATGTTTGGATGCCCATGATCTCGAAGGTTTCCGCGTCGACCTGGTATCGCTGGTAGCCGGCATTGTTGCCAGTCAAGGGGGTGATGGAGGGGCCGATGAAACCCATTGTTAGTGGCTTGGAGATGTCAATGTCGTTCGTGTTACGGAGAGTTCCGTTGAGACTAGTGGCACTATAGTCATAAAATATCTGTAGTTGATCCTCATGAGTATGACCAAAGAAGATGGCGGCAATCGTCGCAGGCGCGAAACGAGCGACTATCGAATAGAATAGCGCAGTCGGGTTGGGTAGGCCGTTGGACCCGTCATATCCTGATAAGACGTGGCCAATGATCCATGCACGTTGGCCTTTTGCTTCACAAGCCTCAAGTTCCTTGATCAGGAATTTCAAGATGCCGGACTGATCTGGATTTGTGAAATTGAAGAAGTTGAAGACATTGTCAACGTACCAGAAATCGGTGTTGATGGAGATGATTCGGAGACCTTGAGCAGTGGTGTGGGCGTAGGCTCCGTAGTGCGTGGACGCGTGATCCGCTTCTGCTGCAGTGATCCAGCCGTCTCGCTCCCACATGGAGCTTAGAAGGTCGTAGTTCCAGCTGAAAATGTTATTTGCGCCAGCTGTCTTCTTGCCATCGATGTTGTTTGGGGTGTTATAGGCCTCTGGCAAAGAGTCGTGGTTGCCCAAAGTTGGATAGATGGGAATGTTACCCATTTCAGCTTTGAAGACCTCGTAGGTCACAGTTTCCTCGTACTCAACGTATGCTCTGCTCAGTTGGTCGTCGTTCTGCCGATACATTCTGGATTAGCACGGCCATACAGCAGAAGCGCGAAATGAAACTTACGTCGTGGCTCACGATGTCACCTGTGAATATGGTGAAGCTGATATCGTCGACGTTGAAGAAGGAAGGCATAGATTTGAAAGAAGACAACGCCAGGTCTGGCGGTGAGTCGCAATACAAGTAACCAAATCTCGAGGCTGGCACCGAGGCATTGCTGACCCCAGTATCCAGCTTAGTGTTGGTCGAATAAGGTCTGCAGCACAAATACTGGGAACAATTTGCTTCCGACCCAATGTCATAGCGAGGGTCCAAATGCCAATCCGAAAGATGCAAAACATTGATGGTCTTTCCAGACGGCTTAGGAACGACGGAAGCCGCCGGTGGCTTGGGGCTGAAATAAAGACTTTCATCTATCTCGATGGTTGGTGGGACTGTGCACGTATCCTGCAATTATTCAGTCCCAGCTGAGCACAGATCTAACCTCTATACTTACCCATTGATAGTAACACCAAGCTTGGTAGTCGCCTGTAGACTCGTTCATTTTGGCAAATCTGAAACCTGGTCAGTAAAGCGATTCCTCATTGCCAGTCTGCAGGCCTCTCACAACTGCGCCCAGTATGGCCCGAGACCGCCAACACCAGAAAACTCGGATTCGCCATTCACCGCATAGATTGCGAAATCCGTCAGATTCCCTTGGCGACATTAGTATGCGAATATTGTTCCAACGAAGTATATAGGTGGAGACCCACAAACTCGGATCAGCAAATCGGTGATAACAGACACTGGTTGTGAAATTGCGGCTTCGTGGAAGACATTGGTGGAAGCAAGGCACTTTTCACACTTGGTGGTGTAATTACTACCGTTGGCTACAATGGCTGCAATTTGATTGTAGAAGGAGTTCTCCGTCTGGTTAGTCCTAGAAAATTGATGAGTAGGGCATTGAGGACACGAGCCACGTGGTGTGTACATACGGATAGAGTGGAGTAAATGGTGCTGGTATTGGCGAGGTCTCGTTGTACCTGCAATTTGTGAGCGGCGTTTAATGAAAATTGGGTAGATAGAGACGCTTACGGCGGGACTGGGCCGGAGCCATTGTAATAGAGGGTTGGGCCTCCCTTATCACCAATCGTGTTGGTCAGTTGCGGGTTCAGCGCTTGCGGCGTATAGTTTGTTGCCGTTGCTGCATGCTTTGCGTACTGCAGCAGTGCAAGGCTAGCGATGTTTTGGAAGAGCATGACGGAAAGAGCAGCGCAAGAGGCGACGAAGAGAAATAGCTGGATAATCTTTGCCTTGGGCGTTTGAGGGAGTGCACAGTTGCTATTGCGGGAAGGCTTCATATATACTTGTCACTTTTCAACGAGTGGCCGCACCGAGTGAGAGCTATGATAGAAAGCTCCGCATGGTACCTGCTTAGAGGATGCATGTAAAGGGTGCGGGGGGGGGGATTCGAGTTGTGGAGAACCAATGATAGATGGATGTTGTCGCATGAATGGCAAGGACTCGTGAAGATTGAGCAACTCGGACCGGTAACGGCTGCTTTTGTGCCTAATTGGTCGAGCCTTGGTGTCTAAGGCTTGGAGGCAGGAGGCAGGAGGCAATGAATTTCCAACGCGTTCAGCATGACGATTGATTCGATTCAGATACGAATAAATCGGAGCTTCTTGATCGAAAAAAGGCGATTGGATACACGTGGGAGATGGATGAAGAAGATTGGTTGGCTGAATGACATCAATCTGCATTCACCTTCCCCTTTGAGAGATGGACATCTGCCATGCATGGTGTCGGTTGAAGCCATGTTTAAGCGAGAATCCTGCAAATGAATCTCCCACCGTATAATAGCAGATTCTTAACACTAGTTATATTATGAAAAGTAGACATTACTAGTACCCCCGTTAGCATCCAGAAAAATGAGGAAGAAGAAGAAGAAGAAGAAGAAGAAGAAAAAAAACGAATTTGTGCGGGTTTTTGTAGCTCGGGGAAAATGACGGCCCCGGGATGGTCGTCTCCGCTTGGCTTTTCGGCAAAAGCTTCCCTTCTTAACACTGCACTTTCCACGTCGATCATCCTGGGCTACGGAGGAAGCTCAGCTTCAATTCACTGGTCAAGCAGACATCCCCGCACTCTGCAATTATTTCACCTATACCTAATTCTGTCATATCCATCGCAGTTGTCCATGTTGCTACCAAATGGTCAACGGTTACCGCGATCCGCGGGCTTGCCCGTCCTCTGAAGACCTCAAAAGACGACACAGGAAACGGACGGATCCACTGACGGATTTGCAGGAGTGAAGGAGCAAGCTGTGTCAAGAGTATACGGGGACGTTTGCTTCAAGACAATGGCCTACGAGCGAGGAAGAGCTAAGCATTTGCGCTCATGCAAGTTCATAAGATTTGGCGCAGATGGGTTCAGACGCTGGCATACGAGGATAGGTCATGCGCAAGGCTACTGCGGACGAGACGGAACCCTCTGATATCAAGATCATTTGGGGCAAGAAGCCAACGCCAGAGATGGACCTAACGTTCAAATAAATCGGTACTCTAGACATAAAGGTGGTGCCCAGTCTTGGCCACAGCACGCTGATACGTCTCTGCAGCCTCTACGTTCCTCAGCCATGCCTCAATACCCTCCCACTTCCTATCCTGCGGCGCCAATTTCAACCAGAAGATGAACTGAATGGAGAAGGCTACCATGGTGTCCGCAGCAGTGACATGGTCGCCCACCAAATACCCTCCATTGCCCCCCTTCAGCTCGGCTTCTAGCCAGTCAAGGTCTTTAGCTACGTTCCCTGCTAGACCTGGCCCAAGTTTCTCAGCGGCAGAGGCGTCAAGCCGTCGGACATACACCGTTGGGAGGCAGTGGACCATGAAGGCACCTTCCGCTGCGTGGATCCATTCGCGCACTTTGACACGTTGGGCTTCGTCTGTTGGGAGGAGGCGGTGGGACTTGTCGTAATGCTCGCAGAGATACCTGGCAGGCACGGTCAAATGGTGCAATACTCAGAACGGGCGGAAGTAAAGGCAGGGGTTGGAAAAACATACTCGGTGATGGCTCCACTCTCCTGAATCGTGAGCTTTCCGTCCTTGAGGACAGGCGCCTTCCCCAATACCGTCCCGCAAGATTGTTTAAATCCTGCAGGAGCTAGACCCGTATTCTCGCGATCATAACCTTCGAGCTTGTAGTCAAGGCCTAGCTCCTCCAGAAGCCAGGCAATCCTGATGGATCGGGATGCTTGTAGGAAATAGAGTGTGATGTCTGGCATTTTGAGACCCAATGATGATTGATTGTAATCACCATAACTTCCTGACTGTCTTGTTGAATTTTGACTCGGCTTTTTTATGAGGTCATCCATGCGCGCCAACGTCTAGATTCCACTCATCCGTGTTCCTGGCCCTCCATGACTCAGCCTCTGAGGTTCCAAGAAATCCGTCTTGTCTTTACGATAGGGATCTGCAAGAGACTCGGATTCACAGCTGTGTAAGTATTATAGAGATGGGTTAGTCACCCTCCAGAAGCAGGCGACCTCACTCAGTCTTGCTTCGATCGCATGATCCTTCTTGGTTGCTAAAATCCCCAATAGGCAAGAAGATTGTCCTTGCACCTCTTTGATCAACTATACTATTTACACGTTCCTTCATTTTCGCCTAATTCTCGAGACTTGATTTTACAAACGAAGCGCACAATAGCACTAACAGCCAATGGCGACCGGGATTCCGAGCAAGGACGCATATCAACTCGTCGTCGTCATGCGTCTACTACCCCTACCGCCGATATCATGCCACCATCCCTTGCACATATGGAATCATCACTACTAACGCTGCAGGGATCAGAACACGAAGATGACGGAGAAGACGAGACCGAAGGCTCGAAGCAAGAGGTATCCACTCCAGCTGGCCCTGTCTCCCAAGCAGACGGACGTACCCCCGAAGCATTAAAGGAAGCAGACTCGTGGGGTTTCGTCATCTACCGCATGGTCTACGGCAACGACGGCGAATGGCAGACCTTCAAGCAAAAGATTTGGAAACACGTCGAGCGCGGACGTGATGCTATTGTTGATGCACGTGGAGATCCGGATGGCGTGACTTTCGACTTCATCGAAGACGAACCCGAGCTCGATGGCGCTACTGCCGAGCAAGTCAGATTGTGAGTATTTGCGTTGCAGATATCGGTCTGATGCCGTCGTTTCCGGTATAAGACAGACTGACGCAACGTCCAACAGGAGGCACGCCCCTTCCTACGTCTTTCCGGCCGTCGATCCGGAAGCGGCAGAGGACCAAGTCGTCCCTTCGGAGCGCGATGATGGTTTATGCGGCGCTGGTTTTCTCATGATCGGTAGGGACGCAATGGAATCGGTCATTCGTCACCCGGCGAGAGGTAAACCCTACGTTGTTGCTGTGGATACGATCAATAATCATTACGAGGAAGGTGTGTTTGAGGGCACAATGAAGATCCATGCGGATGATTTTCTGACAGAATATTTTTAATTGCGGAGTATCAAGGACAATGTGCTGGTGATGGGTGAGCTGCCGGGGTCAACTAAGATGGACGATGTGTGGAGTGGAGGGTTTTGAAGGAGACTGTGGATATGGGAGTGTCTTTGATTGACGCTTCTATTTTCGACGCTCCCGCCAACTGCCGTGATTATCCCACCCTCTTAGACGCATCTCTCGCAGTGAGGCCCGCTTCTACGACGTGGTCTCAGGTCAGTGCACAGCTTCCCCGCAGAACTACGGTATTGAATTTATACACTTTGCGCTTGCATGCGTGAAGTCTTACCCGCGCCCTTGCATCGGCCAGAGATAAATGTAAACACGGCCCGCCTTTAGAACAACCGCCCAGCAGCGCGAGTTGCCTGCTTGCGTTGGAAATCGCATGCTGCCTGGGTGCCTAGCGACGATTGTTTCCAGTTCCACGGCGTGGGGATGTCTGTTGCGCGGTAGAGAAGGAAAATGATTTGCCAGGATTCAAAGGCGCTATGCGCCTGGCAATGTGTTTCACGTCATCTCGTTGCGATGGATCTTCGGGAATGGTATGAAGAAGGATGGATGGCAGGCTCTGCTTAGGCACTTCATGGCCTCGAGTCCTTTTGAAATTTCAAAGCAAGCAAGCAAGCTCGGAGTCCGGTTGGCAGAGCCAGAAAATGTTCTTTTCTACAATTCTTCTATCATTGATCCCATACCACCTCATCGTCTCCGCGCTCACTCTTCCTCCCCTTCCCATCTCAAACCCGACCGTCAATGTGACACGACTAGCGAACGTGGACCCCAACCCCGAAGCCCACTGCGCCCAAGCTGCACCGACCACGCCTCCTCTGCCATTGTCCCCAGACTGCGTCAGGGCCATCCGCTCGCTCCCCCAAAGCCCCTACATCGGCACGTTCCACATCGGCACCGATGAAAGTTTTTGGCGGCTGCCGCACAGCGAAAGCTATGGTACTTGCACCGTCTTTGTGCTCTTGAACGAGGACTTCGATCTCGAGATGGGGTCTTGGGTCGATATCCGTAATGCGGCCGTTAAGGTGCTGCTCGTGTGCCGGTTGCCGTTTGAGGAGGGGGGCGAGCAGAGGACTGGGGGGTGGATTACGTCGGGGGCTGAGAACGGGCTTGTGGTGGAGTTGGGGACGAGGAGAGTGGGATTTGGAGGCGAGAATGGGACGGGGGTGGGGGTGGGGCGAGGTATGAATGCGGTTGATATTGTGTGAGAGCGTGGATGGCTTCGAATCTCTTGAACATCGGCTCAGTTGCGCGCTTGCGATTCAGGACGTGTTTGAAATCGGATGGATGCGAGTGCACGATGAGTTTTCGGAAGAGCCTGTAGTGGGCTTTCAGCTTGGTCGGTTCGGAGACAGGCAGTATTTCTGGTCGCTCGAACTTGCGTGGGACACTGCTGGCAGACCAATGACACGGAGACTCTAGTCTTTCCGGATGGCATCGCGCTCGTTCTTTCAAGGAGGCCAAGGAAGGAGACTCCGATCTAGGGAGGCTTTTGGGTTCTTCCTTGATAGCTTTTCGGAGTTGGGCGGAGAGAGGTAAAGGGAAAGGGTGATGTTCGTGGAATATGGAGGGTGCTCAACGCTATGGTCAACGATGCATCAGGATCGAGATGTGATTTGGGAAAAGAACCTTGAGTGATCTACGGTAGGTGGTGGTTTCGTCAAGTTAGGGGACTCAGCTGATGGGGATGGTTAGCAGTAGTGGAGAAGAAGATAGAATAACTTCAACGACTGAAGAGTCAACTGAGGCTTATTGGGATGTGATGACCCATATCTTTGGTTCGTTGAGAAGTGTGAGCTAATGTTCAGAGTAACTTATAAAACCTTCCATTTGAAACCATTGATGCAGGAAATAGTGTCTTCCCCAGCTTTGTTGCTTTACTAGTACATACAACTAAATATGCTAACCTTACTAGATAGCTAGCAATATATTGTGAGTAGAAGGAATGATTTTGAGCAAAGCGGAAGAGAACCGAGCACCCCCCTTGCGGAGAAACCCCGGGCTGTGATGTCATTTCCGAGGCTTCATATGTTGTAGATCCCTGCTTGGGATGCCAATGCCACTTCGAGAGGCTCTCACTCTTCTTCAGTTCTCCTGCAGCAAATAAGCCTTCCAACAATGGGAAACAATGGATATACAGCCTTGGTGTTCGGAGCCTCGGGGATCTCAGGCTGGGCTGTCAGCATCGTGGCCGCTCGCAGCATTGGGTGTGGGCTGCTAACAGAGAGTAGATCATGCGCCAGTGCCTAGGCCATACTTCCTCCGATTCGTCCAACACCTTCTCTCGGGTCATCGGTCTGACGAACCGACCATTGAGTAAGGAAGCCTCTCTGCTGAACGCGGAAGATGAAAGATGGGAGCTACACAGTGGCATAGACCTTGAGGAAGACGTGGATGCTGTAGCCGAGAAACTCAAAGTGATTCAGGACGTCGATCAAGTCACCCATGTGTACTTCACTTGTCAGCCAGCCCACTAGCGTGCTCTCCAGATGGCAGGATTGAGCTGACACCTAGTGCTTAACAGCGTACACCGCCCACGGCAGCGACTACCAAACCCTCAAACGTGCCAACGTTGCCATCCTTTCCAACGCCCTTCGAGCGGTGGAAAAGACATGCCCTAGCCTTGTATTTTGGACCCTCCAGACCGGCGGAAAGGCATACGGTGTAGAGTTCTTGGACAAGGGCATCAAGTACGAACCCCCTCTGGAAGAGTCTGCGCCCCGCATCCCTGAACCGTGGGCCTCCAATGTCTTCTACTACGCTCAATATGATACCATCAAGCAATTGAGTGAGGACAAGAAGTGGACATTCTGTGAGATCAGACCGGATGCTATTATCGGGTTCGTGCCGCAGAACAATGCTATGAACCTAGCGCACGCGATTGGGCTTTGGTTAGCTATGGTCAGAAGTCTTGAAGGGACGGGAACGGAGGTGGTCTTTCCAGGGGACGAGAAGGCATTCAAGGCGCTGCATACGGATACATCGCAGGACGTACTTGCGCAATTCCACATCTACGCCTCCCTTCATCCTGAGGCCGTTTCGAGGAAGGCATTCAACATCGCGGACGGGGAAGTTGTGACATGGGAACAAGTCTGGCCTAGTATTTGCCACTGGTTTGGCCTGAAAGGCGTTGGACCGGATCCTTCAAAGAAGACTGGGGCGGAGTGGGTGCAAGACCGAAAGGGACAATGGGGGAAGTGGGTCAAGGAGAACGGGCTAAAAGTGGGAGCGCTGGAAGCTACGAGTTGGGATTTCATGTCGGCGATCATGGGTGCGATCACGTTCGATCGGCAGTATGATTTGAGTGCTTGTCGGGCAGTGGGCTTTCAGGAGAAGATGGAGACTGTTGAAGGGTACACTAGAGCATTTGAGAGGATGAGGGTGGCGAAGATCATACCTTCGGAATGAGACGTTTGCCTACCCTGCCTGCAGCAAAAGATGACGAGGGGAAGGGTGGACTGGGTAATGATATGATATCCAGACGTATCTACGTGAAGATATGGAATTAGTCAGGCGCTAACTTATTTCGCAAGTCTTCCTTCAAGGAAACATCTCAGAAACGCTGTCAATATACAAGTTACCTACGGTGAGGATCAATCTGGTGGCCTCAAGTGGTACGCCTCGTTGAAGCTCCGTCAGACACATCTTGGCGGACTGCTCGGTGATCCGCTTTCCTTCATCGCAACCCTTCGTCACCCACCTATTTTTTCCAGCTGTACCTCCTCTTTCCTCCCTCTCACTCTCATCACCCGTATCCACGTCCTTCTTCTGCCCCGACTCATCATCGTCTTTACCCCGAACCTCAAGATCCTGCCCATCGTCATCTCCACCCCCCACCTCAAGATGCACTGCATCCCCGTGCACAATCCCCAAATCCGTCATCCTCGAAAGGTTCGGCAACGGTCTTGCGGGCCTCGTCTTTTGCAAATCGATCTTCATGGCTCCGTCTGCAGGAGTGCCGCTACTCCAATGCTGTCGTTGGAAGAGGGGAGCTCGGGCCTTTGAGCAATGTAGTCGAGAGGCTTTGGATGTAAAAGTCATGTGGAACTCGGTGCGTATGCCAAGATTCATCCTCCTCGTGCATTGACTTGGCATGAGATAATCAGAGGCCTTTCACCGATGGGCGGAGTCCAAGCTTCGCTGTGCCTTGACGCAACTTTCTATTGGATCGTTGTCTTTGGCCTCCTTGAGTTGAGAGATATTCTGACCCAATACCGTGGATCACATGAAATGTGAAGGTACAAAATCGCATTATTTTTTGAATTTTTTTTCCTCTCACATCCGAGTCTCCATCGTCAAACCTGATGTGCGAAGTCACATTATTTCGAAACCTTTAACGCTTAAGAAACACACAAACCTCTGTGTATCGCCACGGTGAAACATCTTCAAAGCTACATCCTACCATGGCAACTCAAGATACTTTCTCAGCACAACGAAGACAGTGTCGAGCCAAATCTGATCGCCAGGCTTGTCCAGTCGCAAGCTATGTCATGGACGCATCGAAAAAGTGTCCGCTTCGTGGAGTTACCAACGGAGACCGCCAGTCTCTTCCAAGCGCCAACATTGTGAATGGAGCATCACCAATCCGAGAGAATGTTCATTTCAGTGCCAGTATCGTCATTGGTTGCATCATCTTTATGCGAATCTTCCTCATCAGCCTACGCTGGTTCCCGCTTGATATCGACTTCGGACAAGACTTCATCCTCCTTCGCTTGAATCCTCGTTGGCTTGCTGGAAATTTTTCGGTTCCGTTCGTGTTATGGCTAGCTACCTTTTTGGCCCGTCGCGGATCCGCCTCGCTTATAGCTGGAGGTGCTCGCATGTGGGTCCAGAGAAGTTCCGACACCGTTCTGGTTCACATCGTGGGCTGCGTTTCTGCTTCGGCTTCTACCGTGCACGTCGTAAAGACTTAATTCCATGTCATTTTCATGAAAGTATGGCCCAACTTGCCCGTCTAGGGATCCGGAAGCGAGGACTCGGAACTGTGGTAGGCTGCAGGGATGGCTGTCATGGCTGTACTGTTTCTGTTTGCCATGGCGCCAGTGATACTGACGTGGATCCCAGTCATGGTTATTTCACAGGGGCTTCCGCAAGTTGAGTCGCCCTTGAAGAGAAGGGATTCCGGCCACGGAGTCTAAAAAATAGATCGGTACATCCACGGACTGATCAACGACTGGACGCTTTCTTTGAGGAAACCCTCTACGCCACCATCGCCCTTACTGTGCATCTTCTCAGGTGCGACAGGAAATACCCGCCACTCTGCCACCTCCCTTTCTCCGCTCACCTGACTTGGCTTGCTACTACTTCATCGTACTGCTTCGCACTCTGGCTAGCAATCTTTTTCGACCACACTAAGACCGTCGCAGAGCTGAGGGCGGATGTCGCTTCAGCGTTGGCAAAGAGCAAGTCAAGGCGCAACTTTATTGACAAGACTCGGTATATACACTCATCTTTGACTCGATCATCACGGTAGCGTGGGTCATCAAGTATTTTCATGAGCTAATGCTCGGAAATGAGACCAGGACTTATGCTTCCGTACTGATTTGGCTGGGGTTTTAGATCGTCTACCTTGCTGTATGCCTTGGGGTGGTGGCTGTTTGTGGTTTGACTGTGCCACTCGATGGGTTCTGCGAGTGGATGAAAAAGCTCCCGCAGGAAACGCCCAAGAATACAGGCCCTAAAAGTTCGCTGGCCGAATCGAAGGCTGGAAAGCCAGGGAGCGCCTCAATCGTCAGTAACGATACAGACCTTCGAATTTGAAGTAGGCACGCCATCAAATGCCAGTATCAGATCACCAGTCAACCAAACCGCTTTTTATCCCACCAAATCGCTAAATGCCAGATATGCTCGCTCGCTCTTCCAGCGCCCGCCCGGGACGTGGAGCAGAAAGACTTGTAAAATCTTAGTGAGAGCCATTCCAGCCCTCACTCGTATCCACCTCTTTTGCCTCGATCCATCAGAAGGGAGGACCTACCGGATCACACAGTTCTGGGAATTCGTTGCAGTCGATGGTATTCTTTGCGGTAACGTAACAAGTGCTACCTAGGTTCGAGTCCTCCTTTATCAATTTGTTGAATTCAGTCGTGGTAGGATCTCCGGCAAAGTCCCGGAAATACGTCGTATTCCCGTTGATTGTGACACTGGCATCGTCCGACATGCAAGTACAGGGTTGTGTTTGCGAAGGCCACCCCGGGTACTGACCGTTGGGGAAAGGACCAGCAATGCTATTCGGCACCGCGCCCAGGTCGTAAAGCCGACACACGGGTAGATTGTACATGCCCGGGCTCGTAGGATCTAAGTTGAGATATTGTTCGATGTTGTTCAGGTTCTCTGCGGTGGGATCGAGGAGTTTGGCGACAAAGGAATCCGTGGCGTTGTAGCTTGAACGCAGAAGTCAGACGTTAGCGAAGAGTATGGTGGCGCAGAAGGAAATGTATTGCTCACTTGAACCCGTATTGGAGGAAGCCGTTTAAAGACGATGTGATCATGTCATGCGCGCTGTAGGTGTACCCATTGTAGGTCATGTTTGCAACTTCGTAAAAAGAAGGCTGTTCTATCGAGCTACCGCCATTCGTTAGTACAGCCATGCCGCCGCTTTCGCAGTTGACTACAACACTGCTATTCCAGTCGGCCCCCGAGTACCAGTTCTTGCCCACAACCCATTGACTGTTGCAATCGTCTTCCGTGAAACTTTCCATCGAATTATCGCTGTTGAGTCCTGAGACCTGGCCGTAGGGTATGTAGACTATGTAGGCATTGTTCGACCTGAACCAATTGTTGATGAGATTGGCAACAAGCAAATTTTCGAACCAGTTTGTGAGTGCATTTGTGGGGCCCGAGTTGGTGTTGTCATGGTTAGTGCTGTTGAGATCCACTGCTCCAAGGACTTGTGCCGAAGTGACATAGGCACCGCCTGTCATGAGCTGCTTCGCGTTTGTCGACTTAGACGTGCCACTGCCATACGTGCCATTGTACCAAATTGCATCGTGCATTGTGTTGACATTGTCTTGAAGCGTTTCTATCCAGCCTTGCGAAAAGCCGAGATCCGTGTAGATACTAGATTCATCAGTCAGGTCTTAAACATCATGAGAAAGCTTACGTCTGAAGCGTTACCTCCGCTTGCTCGGAGGAAGATAAGAAGCTGTCAACATCAGCAGCCAATCCGAAAGAGGCGGCAAGACCGATTAAAACCCCTACAACAGGCTAGACACGCACTTTCAGCCTTTTTGCAACTTTGCGATAGGACCGGCGGAGGCTTACAGAGAGAGCGGCATCCACGAATGGGTCCGCGATAATAAAAGCAATGGCCAGAAGAGTTAAAATCGTGTTCAATATGGGAAACACTTTCGACCACAGGCTTGCACCAGGGAGTTGCACCTCAAATTTTGAACCTATTTCTCCGGCGTAGTAGTCCATATCCTGTTCTGCCCATTCCAGTGTTTGCCACATCATGTTCATCAGCTTGCTGAAATTCGTCATTCCTGCCCAGATGTAATATGCTTGAGTCTTGTACGGAGTGAGCCAGTTTTCAGGACCAGTTGCGATAAGTGAGCATCCTTCTAACATTGCACAATCTGCCTCATTAGTTGCAGTACAAACGTATGTGTCGCCGTCACCGGCTTCCCCACCAGCAAAATCCTGAAAGAACGTTCTCATTAGGCCCAATTCTTGCCAATGGGATGTATTATCGAAGTACATCTCGAAAAAGTCATCGACCTTCTGCACCTCCCATTGCTCAGGTGTAAGAGGAGGAATGTAATTAGCTGTGCACGGAACGGGGGTAACTATAGGTCCGGTACATGTAAGTGTCGCAGACACGGTAAGTGTAAAGGAACCGGAAGCTCCTGAATTCACGGCACAAGAGGCGCTGGACGAGGACGTTGCCGCGATGGCTCTTTTCAATTTGGAATGTATCACCAACAGGCCATCCACTTCAACGATCGAGGCAGCACTCTCGGTAGGCACGTACGGTATCACAGGGCTTCCCGGACATTGGCTTGAGGGAATAATTGAGTAATCGCAATTGGGCATGACCAAAGATCCCATCCACGATGTTACAAGTGGCGCTGGCGATCCACTGCAGTAGCAATAGGCCCAATCTGCATCGAGGCATTGATCATCAAAACCCTTCGGTACTAGCACACATTGAGGTGTACCTGGGCACCCTGGGCTTCCGGTTGCGGAAGCAGATAATGAAGCAGAGGGACTGAGCATAGAACCTAGTCCAGTTGCAAGACTCGTTGAAGATGCTGTTTGGGCCCTTTGGTTAGTTGCCGGAGCGCAGCCAGGCGCATTGGCCGCACCCGTTATCATTCCACCAACTACTACGGCATTAGTCTAGCACAACGAAATTGGGTTCTGGATAAGTACGCCAGCTTCCGTCACTTGGAACCGTAAATGTATAGGAGCCATCGGCATTCTGTACGATGTATTTGCCAATGTGCTGGCCATCGTCACCCCAAGTATCACCATCCAAAACGATCCCCGGACTGACGGTAAAGCTCCATTGCTGACCTAGTTGGCCCATACCATACGGACCGGGATCGATATCAAAGGACCCTGTAGGCATTGCCATCTGCGACGAATAGGTGAAAGCGCTCGCGGTGCAGATTTCCGGAGATGTTACCGAGATCGAAAACGGGCCATTATCGCCGGCGACTTTGGATGCTATCAGCAAGGTAGAGAGCAAGCACAGGCTTGAATCTATAAGGAAGTAGCGGCGCATCTTGTCAAAGATCGCAGTGATTGACGACTGAGCGCCCGAATGAAGGAGAGTGAGTAAATTAACCGAAGAGAATGAGTGACAGTGTCATTTGCGAAGGGTATCCAAGATGCTTTAAAGTAGTTCTTGAGAGTTTGTGGGGAAATGGGGCCTTTCCGCTATAGAGGAACACAGTGCTCTAGCGCAGATTCCCCGGATCCGCGTGCACGATGCATTGAAGATGCTAGGTGTAAGGTGATCAGCAGTTATACAACAGTGCCCGTGGGGCCGAAACATCTATTTCTTCGGCACGGAAAATCCAACGTTCGATGTCGGTTATGATACCTCCAGTCTAAAATTATTTGGTTGGTATATCCGTGCCGGACAACCAAGAGGATGTATCGATTGCTCGGGCGCACGAGTACTAGTACACATCTGTTTTCCAGTAATTGAAGTATTCGGCGTAAGCATCCAGAAAAGGTATGGGAGCACGTCATGTAGATCTCTATCGTGAATATTTCCTGTTGCGAGACGATTGCACCATCCAATTCCTAAATTGATGTGTTACCGTAATTTGACTCCGCAATCCATTTTTGACATACCATATTATGAGCTAACCCGGTCCTGTTGCCACTGTTGCTACCAACTCAGCACATAGACTTGAAACAAGCGTGAGCTTTGTCCGGGTGGGTTTAAGCTTCTTAGGACCCTTCCATATCCGGCGCGATTATTGAATACGAACGACGTTCGGCAAGACCAGCGCCGAGTGTACATAGCCATCAGATACTTGCCAGTACCTTGATAAGACGCATGTATTCCCAGCGTTCCGGCCCCTGGTTTCCGAAGCTGAGAATTCCTTTGTCCGTTGTGACTAAGAGCCAACATGATAATAACATTTCGATGACGGCGCATGCGGGGTGGATGGTGGGGAAGGATTGTTACCGTTTTTTACTTGGGCAAGGCTTTCACCTTGCTATGAGTTGGCAAGGACCCTTCAACGGCCCGAGCCGAGCAATGACGGTGCTGGTTGTTGGACCTAGGTATTGCAGTCAAGCAGTATGGGCACGATGGGTAGAGGCACAATAGTAAGCAGTTAAGAGCCTCGATAACATTGAATATGTAGCTACTAGCTCGGTATCTGAATGGAGTATGAGCTGTGATTGGAGTTCTACTGAGGTGATGAGACTAGCGATAGAGTATGGGGTTTGGTGCAATCTCGGGTCAATGTCGGTGCTATATGAACCGTGTATCAATAGGTATCAGGTATATTACCTAAATTGTACAACAACGGCAAAAAGCAAGCTATCGAGACGAAACGGACCTGATGCTTCATTAGTGGTAGGCATATCGCGAGGCTGCCTACTACCCTCTCATACTTCCTCGCTGAATAATTGAAATCTTGGAGTAATAAAAAGAGATTTGTGGATGGAATCTCGCCTGCTAGCAGTGTTTCAAATATCGACCGCTTGACTTCAAGTGCTAAATTAGCCGACATCTGCCAAGTCTCATCCGGCCCAGCAAAGGTGGCAAAGGCAACGCTGTGTACATGATTGAGAGCATTCAGCCGTGGGAGCTGTATTTGGGTCACGAAGTCTAGCAGTTGATTCAAAAAGGGAAGCAAGCAGGGTCGAAAGCGACGAGTGGAACCATGATTATGTTATCGTACTCACAGTTTCCCTCGCTTTTTTGACTTCTCGACGGAACCTAGCGCACATTAGCGCTGAAGTATTGGTCGTCACTATCGATCACGTCGGAAACAGAACAATATTAATAAATATAGATGAGACGCTGGAGCTCTAGCTTATCATACATTGCGGCCCCCATGAAAAACCTTCTGTTAGATCGTAAGGCACTGAGACCTTTATCCCTTTCCCTGTGCTCGGGGTGTATACAGGTACGCTAGCAGGGGCCAGCTGTAGGGATTATCATTTGTCCAATCATTGCGACTTACTGCGGCTTAAGATTTTGCTTACTCTTGGGCGCGGCAGACCTGAGTTGACCAATCAAGATCCTTACATCTGGCCCCTGCTAGCGTATACACCCCGAACCCAGGAAAAGGGATAGAGGCTCGACACCCACGAAAACATTAACTCCATCTGCTCAGATTTTTTACTCCTCGAACCCTCGCCCTTGAACTCATGCAGCCTCCATACACCGCAATCGACAGTCACACAAGTTGCGGTATATGCAAAAAGCCCTGGATCACTCCAGTGATTGCATCATGGACCAGCTTCATATACTTCATTCGCTTCAACACTTTGTTGAGTGAGACTGCCGCGAGAGCGTGCCCGATATGGCAAAAATCAAGTGCCCCATAGATGAGGTCCACACCCAGTGCAATGAAAGTTTGCACGCCTCCGTCAACAGAGGAATCAGAGAGGCCGCTCCAACAAGCCAGAGAACAAGATTTCTCGAGCCCAGATGCAACGGAGAGGCAATAAAACGCGGGATATAGTTCGTAGTTTTGCTGACAACACAACCAGCAAGAGTGTCAATTGTAGCGACATTGCGACTATCATGTATTACTTGAATACTTTTGCTCGGCCTCTCATGGGCAAGCAAGACACGAGGGTTATTCTAGCTTTTAAACAAATATTTGACGCTCATGCACCACGAAGGCCTGATTCTCTTTCTCAAGCACAAAGCCAATGAGTATCTTGCTGCCATTCCCCGTTAAATGGTGATGGAGGAGGGCAGGACAGTGGCTTTCCCTCGGACACAAGCTACAGAGGACATTCTGTTCAATGTGCCGTTGCTACAGTCTCTGGGCTTGGGACAACCGCAAAACGAAGATGCGCCAGACAAATACGGGCAACAAGAAAATGCAGTAGTCTTTTCGCGGCAAAGTCGATCTACTAGGGGCCCTCATTCGTTTGCACCCTAGACTGAATCGGAGAGCCCTCCCACCTTAGACCATCAAACGGAGATGATGAATACGATGAACATGAAATGAACGACCTGTGCAACTGTATCGTAAAAAGCAAGCCCCTCAACCGGACCTTCGTGACCGTTTGGCCCAACTCATCGCCTCGTAAGCTCCTTGATTTCCTCCATAGAGACGACCTCTCCAAACTTGGCCTGGATGTCAAACAGATTCGCATCATGAGGGTAAGCATGTCTATCCCCACAAGCCTCCTTCACCACGTACGGGTTGAAGCCGTACTGCATCGCGTCGGTGGTGGTGGCGCGAACGCACCCGCTCGTGGAATACCCACAGATGATGAGTGTGTCTGTCTTCATCGCAACAAGCTGACTGGCCAAAGACGTCCCAAAGAAGGCGCTGCTGAACTGCTTCTCGATGACCATCTCGCCCTTTTGCGGTCTGCAAATCGAGTTCCCCGTCGGATAATCCCCGAGCTCGTTGCCAACGTCGAAACAGGGTAGCGCGCCGGGGAGCTTGTGTTTGTACCAATTGCCGCCGGACTCTGGGCTCGGATACACGACGCGCGTGAAAACGACGGGAATCTTGTGCTGGCGGCAGCGGGATATGAGGTCATTTGTGGATGCCAGAGCGTTGTGGAATCGCTCGGGGGCATACAGTGGGCTTCCGGGTGTAAGGTAGGCGTTGCAGACATCGATGACTAGGAGGGCTGGCTTCTGGCCGAAGGGGAGACTGCGGGCCGAGGATGCGAAGCCCGAGGCTGAGTAGCTGCTCAAAAGATCGGTAGGATAGGATCCAGCCTCTGAAGACATGGCTGAAAAATGGATGGATCTCGAAAGTAAGAAGAAAGAAAGGTTCGGCAGCTTGGGGGCGAATATGTCCACTTGGTGACTAACTACATCAGACTAAGCTCAACGGCTGTAGATTCCTCTAAAAAACGACGCGTCCAGCGTCTGATAATACTGGCTGGTTGCATTGGTTGTTCCGTTACTCACTTCATGAACAGCACAGACTTGTGATTCCTACAATCCCAATCAATGGCTGATTAAGGGGGTTTCTTATCAGTATCCCTGTGTGGGCCTCTAGATTGAACCGCTTGGCGTCATCATGCATACTGATGTGCATGGGTTCTGCGATCTGTTATCATTATGTATCAGAGAATGATGGACTTTGGTTCCGTTTTCGCAGGCTCTCTTCCCATTGATCGCAAGTTCCCTACGCTTGCAATGACCGGAGAGGGTATCTGCGTTGCCTGATGCAAATGAAGCCTTGAAATGTGACTTGGCTCTTTATTTCAACTGGGTTTCTGTCTTGCGCTGGGCTAACCGCACTTTGAGTCTGAGTGTTCCTTCGTACCGTCTCGCGATAGATATCAGGGCGATTTCAATAATTTGCTACTGCTCCTTTGTTAGTACCATTTACCGACGACTTCTTGTCTTCGTTAAACGCTGGATGTAAAGGTGATAGCAAGCTTCTTGTTCCGGCACTCCTGAATGAGTTGCTCGATGGTGGAATAGTGAAGACGGAGTTGGTAGCTGAGCTGAGCCCTGCCAACTTCGTCAAGGATGGTGACAGCAGCTCAGTGGAGCTCCATCCACGTAAAAACATCAACAGCAAGCTAGAGGAAGCGAAAGAAGCCTAGAGTAAAATGCCGTACAATACTGACATAAGGACTACTCGAAGCATGCGTTGCGTGCTCCAAAGAATTTTGATGTCCTATGCCCCCGATGCCAGCTCTCAGATTCCTAATGGTTCGAAATAGGAACCCCCGAATTACATGCCACTCACGCTGCACATGATATGGTGTTCGTTCCAATCAGAGTGATTCGACCGCTCTGCATGGTACGAGAGTAGGATAGAAGTCCGAGCCAGTGATGGTGGCTCGCTTGGTGAAATTCCCGTCCAGATGTCCCGTCAAATTGGTCAGCCTCAGCTCGGCGACTTCTGTGGAGTTATCAGCAAGCGTTAGATATTTCTGCGCGGTTGTGTACGGCTTGTGCGACGGTGTCCCCGACGGTGTTGGATCTTTTAAACGTACGTCATGGCGGCGCCTACTACCGCCTCCGCCAAAGGAACGGCTACCACTTCCACGTTGACCCTTCTTGGATCTAAGTTCACAAGACGAGCACTCGAAGAGCCGGTCCAATACAGAATAATATCGTGTTGTATGAAAGTTACCATCTCGCCTGCCATTTCCGGTTCGTCGGGATACAGCCACTGATTGTAGGAACGGATAAAGAGCAGGATGTTGATGTCGATGCACAGGGTCACAACGGCGTTATGGCAGGCTGGCTTCTTCCTTTAACTTCTCAGGGCATAAAACTTACAGGGCAAAGTTGTCAACTTCTTACAGTAGTCTTCGACAGCTCACCGAACATGCCTTCCACGGCGTCTCCACTTCCAACTTCGAATTCGCATGGATTCGCTCTCTGACGTAGCCACCTCTATTGCGCCTCAATTTTCTGATATTGACTACAGAGACTGCAGGCCGTTCCACAGTATTCACCGTATGTTGTAGTGGAGGACACCAGAGATACGCCTTGAATGCACAGCAAGGAGCGGTCTTCTACTCTTAGCGAGCATGAAATTCTGAGACTGTCCGGCCGCAGTATATGGCAGGGCTAGCACATCCGTCCCGACCATATTTCTACCATCATCTTGGATTCATACCTTTCCTAGTGGCACATCAACCGCTTCACGCTCCCATAATCTCTTTTAAACACTCGATACAGTCGCCATGCAGCTTCATCCTGACCATCTTCCCACTATACGTTTTTGCTGGGCCTCCTGGCTGTCATACCACGAGTAAATCTACTCACGGACCGCCGAATCCTGTATTGTGTTTCTAATTGACGAAGAGCGCTAGAGGATGCAATTGGCGAAGCTTGCAGCTTCGTAACCGACCAAGACTACCGATATTAGTGCTCGCAGAACGCCGGCGAGAGTGCTACCTCAAAAGACGAAGTTGACTTTCCCAGCCAGTGTAACACTGCCTGGCTTAAGATGACGGAAAGCAAAGGAAGGAATATCGCGATGTGGGGTAGCGTCTCCCTTTTCGCTGTTGTTCGAGCCACTACTGGCTCGACGGTCCCTTGTAGGAAGAACCTGTTCTAACTTACCATCACAGGAGATCTAAATGTTGATAAGAAGGCTCAAGCAACTGTCATCCTCGATTTAGAGATGTGCGTGGATCTGATCTTGATGATCAAGTACGGCGATAGCAACGCTATCTCGGGGGGTGGTGGCACAAGTGGTGATTGGTTGCCTTGTGGTGGGAACAGCGGGATATACAACTCAGCAGCAACAAGTGCTGGTGTGGTGAGGGTTTTCCCTTTATGTTTTTGAACACTCGTAGAGACGATGTAACTCAATGCTGACTTCATGCAGTTTCAGAGTATCTGTGTCACAGTATGAGCACCAAGGAGAACTTGTGCATCTGTTTTGACTGCGATCGATGGATTTACTTTCCCCTCTAGCAAAGTAGAATCCCGTATGCCAGGATTGACTCGTCCATAGCTGCGAGGTGGAATACGGGTGGGCTGCGGCTGTGTATTTATGCAGCGGGTCAGATATGAGATGTGTGGTGCTCGAAGGCATAATGAAGGAGAAGCCAAAAGAAGCAGTCTCCCGATCGATATGTCCGTCTAAGAGGCGTTAATATTCGTTGGAAGAAAAGGACAGCTGTGATTTCAGCCAAGAAATTTCCATGCTAGCTCACAGATGGTTAGCTTTAGGTGGTGATAGAAATCTATTAGCGCTGTTGATCTTAGCCAGCACCTTCTTCATTTGTCCTTATCAACCATCATCTATCAAGCCAATCAAATATCGGCGGTTGCACAATCGCATCATCATGCATACTGCGCTCATATCCCCACGCAGTCGTGGGATGCTCCATAGGATCAATAGAACAGCCCATCGAAGGTATTTGAGTCTCTTCAAACGCGTTCTTGGATTGGGTAGGACTGGACTACGTCTCTCGACTTCCGAGGGTCAAGAGCTTGACCCAGGCGGCTAGATGTCAATGTCAACAGCAAAACAATCTTCGACTTGCTCTTTCTGCCAAGTACATATAACCGATTTGCTGTCTTGCCACCCGTTTTCCCTTGAGTGCGCCATCTGTCCCGATTCTAAGGATGAGCTCACCATCATACCGCCTTGGGGTAGACGTTGGGGGTACCTTCACCGATCTGTTGCTGCTTCGAGAAGATACTGGGGAGACATTGCGAGCCAAGGTCCCTTCAACCCCCGAAGATCAATCTCTGGCCGTTATACGAGGCAAAGGTCAGATTCTGTCTAAGATACCCAATGGTGCGGATACAGTTCTCCACGTGGTCAATCACGGGACCACGGTGGCAACTAATGTGATACTGGAGCAGAAGGGTGCAAAAGTTGCGCTTGTTGTCACCGAGGGCTACAAAGATATCCTACAGACGCGGAGATCCCAGGTTCCTGGCAATTTGGCGAGCTGGATCATATGGCCGAAGCCGGAGCCACTGGCTCCATTAGAACTTACAGTTGAAGCGCCAGGAAGACTTGCTACCGACGGGACAGAAGTCCGCACTTTCGATGAGGCGATCTTTGAGAAGAAATTTCGGCCTATCGTGAAAGAAAAACCAGATGCTGTGACAATCAGTCTGATCAATTCTTTCGCAAATCCGGCGCATGAGCAAGCCGCTAAGCGTGTGGTAGCCAAGCTACTTCCAGACACCTCTATCTCAATCTCCTCGGAGGTCTTACCTGAGCTAATGGAGTATGAGCGCACGATAACAACGGTTGTCAACTCCTATGTCGAGCCGAGTGTCAGAAATTATCTTAGCAATCTTCTCCTGTCTTTAGAGGGAAAAGCCAAACATCTTCGCATTCTACGATCTGATGGGGGTCTATCTTCGGTCAGTCTCGCAAGTCGATTCCCCGTCACCTGGGTCCTGTCTGGTCCGGCTGGAGGCGTGTCTGGCGTAGTCTCGGTCGTCGCAGATCAGACTAGATTCAAGAATCTGATCACCTTGGACATGGGTGGTACCAGCACTGACGTTGCACTGATTGAAAATGGGGTACCGCGGATACGGCGAGAGACCAAAGTCGCCGATCTAGTTGTCAAGGCACCTTCTGTTGATGTCCGTACCGTTGGAGCCGGTGGTGGCTCAATCGCGAGGGTTCCTGAAATAACGAAAGCTCTCAGGGTTGGTCCTGAGAGTGCTGGGGCAGTGCCAGGACCAGCATGCTACGGCAAGGGTGGCTCTACGGCTACCGTTACTGATGCAAACGCTGTGCTAGGATACCTACCAAGATCTCTCCTGGGAGGAACCTTCGATCTGGATCTGGATGCAGCGAAAAGGGCTGTGCAGCAAGTTGCAGATGGTCTAGGCATTGGTTTGTATGAAGCTGCAGAAGGCATACTAAAGGTCTCGAATGAGACTATGTATGGTGCACTCCGTCTGGTCTCCGTCGAACAAGGCTATGACCCCAGAGACTTTAGCCTCGTTGCTTTTGGCGGCGCAGGACCCCTACATGCGAATTCTCTAGGAAAACTACTTGGCGCCTTTCCCGTCATCATACCACCGTCTCCCGGGGTACTCTGCGCTTTTGGTGACGCAATGACTCTTCTTCGTCATGAAGTTGGGAAAACCTTCATTAGAGTCCTGCAGCAAACGGATAAGCAGGAAATCTTGGGTGCCTTCGATGAGTTGCTTGGACAGGCTAAAGCTGTGATGCGTGATGAGCAGGGTGTGCCGGAAGAAAAACAGGTTGGTTCCCCAAAAATCGCTACTCTCATCGGAAACCCCGGTCTTGCTTATTTCATTGAATGACGCGATTGGTATTGATTGCTTTCGAAGTTGCTAATATATAGCACCACAGCTTCATAAATTCCAAGCGGATCTACGCTACAATGGACAGTCTATCAATATCCCAGTCAACGTCGACCTCGAGAGTCTGCGGACAATTGAGCTCCCATATCTACAGGAGCTCTTCGAAGCCGAACATGTTAAACTCTTCACGTATCGTTTATCTTCAGATGTCGAGCTTGTGAACCTGAGAGTAATTGCAGAAGAGCTGAAGACTGACCTACCCATCAAGAAGCTGGAGCACGCTACCTCTATCAACCCTCCGTACTCTTCAGTCTCTTCGAAAACAAATCTGATTTTCGAAGGCAAAGAGTTTCTAGACAGTCCAATTTGGGACCGATTGAGTCTGAAGAATGGTCATGCCGTACTCGGCCCTTGCATCATCAGTGAGATGGACTCGAACACTGTAGTCCTTCCAGGGTTTCGAGCCGAAGTCGATCCCGTCGGAAACATTCTAATATATCAAGTGAGGGACAAGGAAGACCCTGAAAATCCTGATATCAAGGAACTTGATACTGTGACCGTCGATATCTTCGAGAATGCCTTGCGTAACGCCCGCAATGAGATGGACACATTGATGACCAGGACAACCATGAGTCCAGCCATTCGAGAGCAGCAAGACGAGTTCAACGTCATCGCCGAGCCCACAGGTAAGATGGTTGTTGGTCAGTTTGGATCATTTATTGGTCAATTCTTGAATGTGTGGAAAGATACTATTGGACCTGGAGACATCTTCCTTACAAACGATCCTTACTCTGTGTCTGGAGCTGTGTCGCACCACAACGACTGGCTTATCCTGATGCCAATTCACGTGAACGAAAAATTGAGTAAGATCTGCGCTGATTGTATTTCGCACATGAAGACTAACGTCGGACTTAGTTGCTTGGACAGCAAATTTCGGCCACATGACGGATGTGGGCGGAAGCGTTCCGGGATCTCTTCCATGCGCAGCTAGTAGCATCTTCGAGGAAGGCATCCAGATCCCCATTACCAAAGTCGCTTCGAAAGGAGTCTGGAACGAGGACTTGATGGAAGTCATCTACAGAAATGTCCGCCTTCCTGACTGGAATCGTGGTGACGTTCGAGCACTTGTAGCTGCTTGTACCATTGCTGGGAAACGCATGACCGAACTCTACACGCGTTTCGGAGACACAGTCTATTTCGCCGCCATCGACGAGCTCCTTAGTCGTAACCGTAAAGCGGTCTCCTCCATCATTAATACCTCCATCGCCGACGAGCCCGCTTATTTCGAAGACTGGATCGATGATGACGGGCAAGGTGTTGGACCCTGGAAGTTAGCATGCACTATGTTTAAAAAGGACGGCCGACTGATGTTCGATTTCTCTGGGACCGACCCGCAGTCGCCATCATCGATCAACTTCTACCTCAGTGTCAACATGTTCAAAATTTTTGTCGGCGTTTACCTCTTGGTCGTCTACGACTCTAGCGTTGTAGCTAATGACGGTTTCCATGACCTCATAGATGTCCACATTCCAGAAGGCAGTCTTCTCAAACCAATCCGGCCAGCCGCGGTGTCCTGTCGCACACATTTCCTAGCTAGAGTGATGGACGTCTTGTCCGCTCTTCTGGGCCAGAAATCTCCGGAGTTCATGACAGCTGCGGGGTTCAGTGACAGTCCTCATCTGATGTACTCGGGCTATAGGCAGAGCGGAGAGTGGTTCCAACTTTACTGGATTGGCTTCGGCGGCATACCGGGGAGACCGATTGGGGATGGGCCTGATGGACACTGTCTTTGGCCGGCGATGAAGGCTATACCGAACGAGTTTCTGGAGCTTTACTATCCGCTGCGCATTGAGGTCTTTGATACTGTTGCAGATTCTGGCGGACCTGGGCTGTATCGTGGTGGGAATGCACAGCGTATCTTCTGGCGCTTCCTGGAAGATGGATTCATCTCGATTCATGACGATCGATGGCTGTCTAAGCCGTGGGGTGTGCTGGGTGGTGAGCCGGGTGCACGGTCTACAAAGGTGCTGGTGAAATATTCGAAGGATCAGGAGAACCCGCCCAGAGAAGCGCTGGGCAGTAAGCAAGACCGTATTAAGGTAAGTAATGGAGATGTACTGGAGTGGATTACTTGGGGTGGCGGCGGTTGGGGTGATCCTCTTAAGCGCGACCCTGAGGCTGTGGCGCTGGAAGTCCGTCGCAGGCTCGTTACAGCTGAGGGTGCGAGGAGATATGGTGTCGTGTTGCATGGGAACTGCACTGTGGATGCAAAAGGCACGGCTAATTTGAGGGAAGAGATGAGAGTTGCACCTCTTCGTGAGAGGGGGAGAGAGGAGGTCTTCAATCGCGGTGGGTCGTGGGAGGAGCTTCGAACTAATTGTTTGGAGGAGACTGGACTGGCAGCTCCGATACCGCCTTGGGAGGTGAACCTGAGGGGCCCGATGACACAGTTGCCATGGTTTAAGGAGTGGAAAGACAAGCATAGTCACCAGGCGAGACGGCAACAGTCAATATGATAATGATATCTGGATATGGCATTCTTATTGATGCACCCTTGAAAGGACGACTAGCTGTTTTGGCAATCGGGGTAGGTGGAGGCTTCGAAACTCGCAATCGTTGAACTTCGACAACCTATCTCGAAGGCATCAAAAATGACGGCTTCATTTCGTACTGCACGGGGTTGAGAGTTGTAGGTCGAAGTCTTATTCACTCATCATCATCAGATCGTTCTCTCATGGTCATCGGTATACCTACTGCATTCCCACAAACTGCTCTGTATATACATCTTCCCACCTCGATGCTCATTTTGTATATGTATTGTGCCTCCTTTGGTTTCGCTGTTTCATCTACCACTTTCCGCCAAACATATCTTTGTGCCCGAAGTCTTTCCTCCATAAATCTTTTACGTTGGCCTTTGTCCTTCTCCACCACCGTGAGGATCCAGACTATCTGAGCGTTTTGATCTCCCTACCAAAGCCAAACTCTGGGGTGCAAAACCAACAAAGTTGCTCCGATTTCGCAATGCCCACTAAACCATCTAGTCATCTGTGGGTTGTCGCTTGACGAACGATGACGGCCCTAGTGGAAATTCGAAGCTAAGGAAACATGGGAGCCGTTGATAGAGTGGTGCCAAGGATGCTTCGAGTTCTGGATGTCTCAGAAAGCGCGGAATTTCAATTTCGGAGCTGGTTCCTCTAGTTCCTCGTAAGCGAAGGGTTGGGACGAAGTACCTTCTCGACTTTGCGGGCCAGAAGCTGGGGATGCTGGAAGCGGTTGCCCACGTGGAGGCCAACGCTCAGCAACAGTAAGGGTCAAGATTTTCGGCGGCTGCTCTCGGTTTCTAGCTCTAGACCATAGCAGCATGGGCGCAGGACCACAATGTTTACGGGTGCATGACCTCGCCCGTCGGGCTACACATCTACACGACATAGGTAACCCATCTCCACGCCTTTGCTGCAGCTTTAAGGGGTGTCAGAAATTTTGACAACAGAATACGATATAAGCTGGCCCCGAGCTGGCGTCCGAATGGACGGTGGTGGTCAGCATTCGGCACATCGAGTACATCGGATCCACGAACTTTTAGCGGCGAAAGGAATAGTCGCCCCCAAAACCCTCTCGCGACAACGCTGCAGCCCTGTGTGCAGGGACCGTGCCCTAGCACGTTGGAATTCAGCATCTTAGCCCTCTTGTGCTTGGCAACAACTATAAGTAACAGTACTCCTTCATAGAAAAACAATAAGCCGTCATTAATTTCATCAGGTTATAAGCTCGATTTAACGAAACTCGTTACCACGACGGCTTCCTTCGTAAAGGATTATTAAAGGTATTCTTACGTCGTATCAATTCAAGCCACAGAGTAGAGGTTCTGGTCGACGTCCGCTGCGTTAACACAAGTTGCTACTTAGGGCCAGTTCGGTAACCACATATTTTGAAAATAACCCCTACTTATTTTCACTTAGGGCCCCTTCGATAACCACATATTTTCAAAATATGACATTTGACTTTTCGTTAGTCAATTACCAGCCCTACGTCTTTAATACGTGTATGGAAATATTATGCAAGCTTAGCGCCAAGACCAAAATTTTAATAATTGAGATTTCAGCCCTAAGGGCTAAATATTTGAAAATATTTAAATTATGAATTAATTCATAATTTAAGTCTAACGAGAAAAGGCGATATCTAGATAGAAAATCTTTAAAAATTAGAAATCTTAATATAATAGCGATTTAAATTTTACGCTTTTCGTCTAAGTAAATAAGAAGATATATCTTTATTAATTATACTCTTTCGAATAGTATTAATCGATAGTAATATTACTATTATATTATAGAATTTAACGGTTTCTAAAGAAATTCTCGAGGAAAGTATTATGAGCGATTACGAGGTATAATTATAAATTCTCTTAATATAATATCTTATCTCTATTTAAAAATTAAAGTTAAAAATATGTTAATATATTTTGAAAATATATGATTATCGAAGGGGCTCTAAATAACGTCATCTCTTAACAAATAAAAATATGACTTAAAAATGATACTAATTTGTATTTAAAATATGTAAAATATATATACGATTTCGTTCGATAACTCTATTTCTGAGACTGAGTTAGAAACGTCGTAAAAAATTAAGAAAATTATCTTCTCTATTAGTGATTATTAAATTTATATAATTTCACGTTATTATAACGAAGATATCTATTACTACTACTATATAGACTTTAATTATTATTAATACTTTTATTATCTTCGTTATTACTATTAATATTTCTATTAATATCTCTATTAATATCTCTATTAATATTTCTATTAATAAGATTAAAGTTAGAATAACTCTAATATTTATATATATATTAGTTATAAATATTCATTATTTTAGCGTACTTAGCCTTATTTTATTAAAAAATAAGACTCGAGACTTATTTTTAGATATTTTAAAAATATATCTTAAAAATATAATAATTAAATAATATTCTATATATATATAACGCTAAGTTGAAAATAAGTAGAGGTTATTTTTAAAATATATAATTATCGAACTAACTCTTATATCTCTACGACTTCTTAGCGTATTTTTATATTTTTATATATTAGTATATATAATAGAATAAGATAGATATAAGAGCGTAGTCTATTAACGATTAGCTAGCGGGTATAGACTATAAAAGACGTAGTATCGTTATAAGATTTAATAGTATATTTAATAATAGAATTAATCTTTAAGAAATATTAAAACTTCGAGATATATAAAGTAAATCTATATTCGCTAAGCTTCTAAATATATAAAATATATTATTAAAATTAAATTCTAAAAGAGACTCTAATATAATATATATAATATCGGCGCCTTAGCGTAAGTAGCGCTAAGGTTTATAATAGTATTAAATTTAATAATTATCTCTTCTTTTAGATTTTAATCTCTAGACGTCTAAGTAAAAATAGAATATTTATTAAAAAATCTTTAAATTTTAATAGAGAAATAAGGGAAAAAAGTTAATCTATTATAATATTATTTTAATAAGATAATAGAATTAATTATTACGCGTTATAGGCGTATTATTAATATATTATATAATAATATTAATACTATCTTTAAGAATAATATCGCTTTTATAATATTAATTAATAATAATTTATAATAAGTTAATACGCTTAATATTAATATTTTTATAGCGTTAATTAATAACTTCTATAGCGAATAATATTAGATTTAAAAATTTATAATAAAATCTTAAAAATCTAATAGATAAGAGAAGAGAGAAGAGTTTCTTTATAAATAACGTTATTTTTATAGCGTATTACATCTATAGCGAAGTAACGTAATAATAATCTTTATTATAAGATTTCAAAGAGAATAATCGATAGAGCGACGCGTTCGCGATAATACTCTTAATTATTAATTAATAATAATAATAGATAGATAACGCGGCTTTATAGATAATAGCGAAATATTACCGCGTCGCTATTATTTATATTACTAGATACTATCTACTAATAATAGCGCTATAATAGAGAATATAAAAACCCTCTTTAAATTATTTATTTTTATTCTTTATAATTCTTAACGCCTCTTTTATAAGTATTTACTTTAATATTATAACGTTAATATTAATATTAATATAAGTATAATATATTCTATTATATTAATAGTCTACTTCTCTTTATTATAAGTATTTTATTATTATTAATCGTATTAATATATAGATTAATAATTTTATAATATTCTTTTTTAATAATAATAATAACTTTAATAATAAGTATATAATCGTCTTATAAATGCGATTACTAACTCTTAACTATTTCTATTATTATCGCTTTATATATATAACTATTAATAAATTCTAATATCTAATTTACTATATAAAACTTATTTTTATTAAAATAATAATTTATATATTTAAGATAAATCTTCTCTCTATAATAATTATAAAGTCGAAAAGCGCGATATTAGCCGCTATATTAAAATCCCTCTATATCTTTAAATATAAATAAGAAAATTAATACGACGTTATCGCCGCGTTAAATAATTTTAAAAGCTATCTTATTAACGGGCTAAGCTTAATAAGAAAATTATTTAATAATATAAGTTATAGAGATATACGATAGCGATAACTTTAATCGTTTTTATTATAATTATAAATTTTTAAAATTAATTTATAGCGATAAATAAGCGTATAGCGAAATTAAAGAAAATAAATAAGTTATTAAAGAAGAAGCTTAAGAGTCTTTGTCGATATATAATAAATATTAATAAGTATTAACTCGAAGATTATACTTTAATTATCTTCTTATTAAAGTAATAAATTAATAAACTTAATTTAAAATCTAATATTAAGATAATAAAGAATATTTAAATAATAATTTTTTATAGTAGCGCTAATATAGAGCTCTTAGATAGTTCTTTAATAGCTGTCTTAGATAAAAATATATTTATATTAATAATATATACTTTAATACGATATAATTTTTTTATAGTAGAGTTTAATAGATAGCTAAATAATATAATTATTTAATTAATTTATATTTTAATAATAATAAGTATAGAGAAATACGCGCGTAGTATAAGTATTATCTAGAAATATATCTAATCTAATTAATATTTATATCTTATTTTATCGCGTTCGCTTACTCGTTATTAACTTATATAATTAAATAAGCTTTTTAATAATAAGAGACTTATTATTATCTATTACTTAATACTTATACTTATTATTTATCTATTTAGAAATTTAAATTAACTCGCTACTATTAGTAAGTTTATTATCTAATAATTATTAATTATACTCTTTATTCTAATTAGTTTATTTAACTTTATATTAAACGCCTTTCTTATACTTAATCTTATTAACGATTTCTTTAATTTTTTAAAGCTTATCGTTATTAATAAGCTCGAGAGTATATATAAAGATATTCGTTATATTATCGTAATCGCGATTATAATAAGACTTAAATAACGATATATAAAAGATATTATAAATTCTATATATCGAGAATAAAAGTAAGCGATATATTTACGCCTC